ACCCCCATCAGCAATCCCACCAGCAATGTCTGAGGATTCTTTTTATTTTAAAATTGTAGTTGGACACAATACCTTTATTTTTATGTGGTGCTGAGGATCAAACCCAGTGCCTTGCACATTGCTAGGTGAGTGCTCTACCGCTGAGCCACAACCCCAGCCCCTGTCTGAGGATTCTCATTTCTCTACATTCTCTTTTTTTTTTTTTAAGAATTTTAATATTTATTCTTTAGTTTTCGGCGGACACAACATCTTTGTTTGTATGTGGTGCTGAGGATCGAACCTGGGCCACACGCATGCCAGGCGAGCGCGCCACCGCTTGAGCCACAACCCCAGCCCCTGTCTGAGGATTCTCATTTCTCTACATTCTCTTTTAATGCTCACTGTTGTCTGTCTTTTTATTTTAGCTATCTTAAAGGGTATGAATTTATTTTAGAAACTTTTAATTGGTGCATTATAATTATACATAATAGTGGAATTTTGTTGCATGTTCATACAGATGCATAATAAGTGGGTATAAATTCTGGTTATGGTTTTTATTTTGTCTCACTGATGACTATACTGAGCATCCTTTCATGTGCTTATTGGCCATTTGTATATTCTCTTTGAAGAAATGTCTAATCAAGTCCTTTGCCCATATTTTTAAAATTGAGTTGTTTGTCCTGTTATTACTATTGGGTTTAAGGAGTTCTCTCTATATGCCAGATATTAATTTCCTTATCAAATATTTGAAAATATTTCCACCTATTTTGTATATTATCTTTTCAATTTCTTGATGGTGTCTTTTGAGAGGCAAAAATTTTTAATTTTGTTGAAGTCCAATATCAAATGCCTTCTTTTGTTACTGTACTTTGGGTATCTTATCTATAAAATCATTGCCTAGTCACAAAAATTTAAACCTATGCTTTATTCTAGGAGTTTCGTAGTTTCAGCTTTTACATTTAGGTCTGTGCTTTATTCTGAGTTAACTTTTATGTGGTTAATGAGGTAAGAATCCAACTTCATTCTTTGCATGTGGATATACAGTTGTCCCAGCATCACTGGTTGAAAATCCTAAAAGGTAAAATTTAATAGAACAACAAAAGCTAAGACACAGAGGCATGAATGCCAGGAATAGTTGACTGGTTCATCCTGACTATAGAATTGGGCATGTAGGGATATTTCATGATGAAAGAAGCTGGAACGATACGTAGGGGCAGATTATGGAGACTCTTGAGTTGCAAAAGTTGGAGAGCTATGGAAGATTCTTGAGTAGAAGGATAACATCAGAATTGGGTTTTTCAGAAGATTGATCTAACTACAGACTATATACTTGATGGGAATGAGTTAAAGACTAGAAGTAGAAAAGTCAGTGGAGCTCCTACCATGGCTACAAGGCTGTGATAGTGGGAGTAGAAAAGAGGGAATGGATATGTAAAAAAGAAAATGGAAGTACAATACCTACAGGTCTTGATAACTGATTGATTTTTTTAAAATGTTGGTCCCATTACCAAAAATCAGTCAAGCCAAGAGCAGTGGCTAGTTTGACAGAGAAGATGAGTTATCTTTTAGATATACAGTTTTAACAATTTGAAACATCTCTAGTAGAGAAATCTAGCATTCATTTGGAAATGCAACTCTACATTTCAATATAGTAGTCAGGGTTGAAGGTGAAGATTTGTGAGACATTGTATAATCATGGTAGTGAAAACCGTAGACACAAACTATTTACCTAGTTTCCTCAGACAATGTTTATTCCTACTCCCACCTGAAAATGTGAGTTCCTTTATTCTTTCATTCAAAAAATATTTATTGAAAGTTTATTATCCCCAGGTAACATTCAAGGCACTGGTAATATTTGGTGAACAATACGGAACTCCTCTCCCCAAGATCTGCCTTATTAGAACTTAAGGTTTAATGGGAAGAAGCAACGTGTAAACAAATGCATATGTATAATGTAAGGAATTCCAACGATTTAAAAAAAAGTGCCCATATTTAAAAAAATAAATAAAGCAGAGAAAGAGGAGGGAAGGAGTTGTGATTCTAAATAGGTGAAGGAAAGTCCTCAGGAGGATGACACATTTGAGTAAAAGGCTGCTATGGGTGAAGGGACAAGCTATGTAGATAGCTGAATAAAAAGTTTTCCAGGAAGAGACAACGCAGGTGCAGCCACCTGGAGGCTGGAAGGTGCCTGATGAGTCTGAGAAACAAAGGAGACCAGGTGGCCATAGTTGGGTAGGAGGAGCTCAGTCTGAGGCCTGGGTTAGGAGCTTATGAACCATGATAAGAATTTGACTTCTACTCTGCACACGATAGAAATCTATTAGACGGGGCTGGGACTGGGGCTGGGGCTCGGCGATAGAGCGCCTACCTAGCATGTGTGAGACCCTGGGTTCGATCCTCAGCACCACATAAAAAATAAATAAACAAAATAAAGGTATTGTGTACAACTGAAAAATAAATATATTTAAAAAGATATCTATTAGAGGATTTGTAATAGAAAGTGGCAAAAATTTTATTTATATTTTAAAGGCATTAATCTTTAAGGGGAGCAATCATTTTCAGAATAAAATGTGGAAGAACAAGGATAAAAGGAAGGAAATCAATTAGTTGACTTTATAATAATAATCCAGACATGAGATGATGACAATTTGAACTAGGATGATAGCAGTGAAGATGCTGAGAACTGGTTATATTCTGGATATATTTTGAGCTAGAACTGGCCAGATTTGAGGGCATTGAATACAGGATGAGAGAAAGAAAGGAGTCAAAGATGACACTCCAAGGTTTTTGTCTGAGCCACTAGGAGGAACAGTCCTTTACTTAGATGGACTACAGAAGAAGAATGTGACGGTGGCAGCAACGAGCAGGAGTTCCGTTTTGACCATGTTATGTTTGAGATCTTTATTAAATAATGAAGCAGAGATGTCAAGAATAAAGGATGGCATAAACCCTTTGAATGGCACCCAATCTGGGTAGCATGATGATGGAGATTCCTTAGAGAACTTGGAATGGAACCACCATTTGACCTAGTTATCCCACTCCTTGGTCTATAGTATGCTGACTTAAAATCAGCATATATAGTGACAAGCCACATTAATGTTTATAGCAGCTCAATTTACAATAGTTAAGCTATGGAACAAACCTAGGTGCCCTTCAACAGATGAATGGGTAAAGAAAATGCAGTACATACACACAATGGACTATTACTCAGCCATAAAGAAGAATGAAATTATGGCATTTGTTGGTAAATGGATGGAACTGGAGACTATCATGTTAAGTGAAATAAGCCAATCTCAAAAAAACCAAAGGCCAAATGTTCTCTCTGATACACAGATGCTGACTCACAATAGATAGGGGCAGCAGGTAGTGGAGGTTCAGCAGATTGGACAGAAGGGAGGGGAGATGGGAATGGGAAAGATAGTAGAATGAATAGGAATTAACTTTCCTGTATTTATATAGGGATACATGACCAGTGTAACTCCACATCATGTACAACCATAAAAATGGGAAGTTATGCTCTATGTATGTATGATATGTCAAAATACATTCTACTGTCATGTATAACTAAAAAGAACAAATAAAGCATCTTAAAAACTGGGCCTTGGTTTTTTTGAGATTCTGTAGTCTTCTATTATTTTCTATGGCTTTTGCCTTTCAAAATATTTTTATTTTCTCTACTGGCAACCTCCCAAATTGTTAATATTGTTTTGCATTTTAGATGTATCTTATCAGATACATTTAGGTGTATCTTATCTTGCATTTAGGTGTATCTTATCAGATACATTTAGGTGTATCCTATTGCATTTAGGTGTATCTCAGAATTAAGGGTACACCAACTTTCATGAACCAATACATAATGATTCCCAGATTACTTCCTTATATTACAATGGAAAAAGAAAGATAATAGGTAATACATTTTGATTAATTTTCAAATGCCAATTCTGAAGTCATTCTCCAAATCTCTATTACTGCAGATCATGTATGTTTGTGTATATCTAAGTATATATATATTTGTATATTTAGGGATTTGCAAAAGTTGCAAAGAAATGTACAGGGAAGTTCTATCCACACACCCTTTTCACAACTTCCCCCAGTGTTAACATCTTACAAATATGGTACAATACCTTTAGAGCTTCTTCCCTTGTAGGGGTGTGTGTGTGTGTGTGTGTGTGAGCGCACATGCAGCTTGATGCAATTTTGTCACAATCATGTGTAACCTCTACTTCAGACAAGACACTTAACCCTACTATCATTCCAAGATTATCTCATTTTATTCTTAATAGCCACATTCATTCCCCTCTTCTAAATCCCTAGAAACCCCACTAGTCTGTACTCAGCTCTATAATTACATTATTTCACTATTGTTACATAAATAAAATCATGCAGTATGTATCCTTTTGAGATTGACTTTAATGGTTCAGTCTAATTTCCTTGAGATCCATCCAAGTTGTTGTGTTTGTTAATAGTTCATTCCTTCTAATTGCTGAAAAGCATTCCATGGTATGGCTGTGCCATGGTTCTTTGCGTATCGTTCACACTTTAACAGACATTTAGGTAGTTTCCAATTTGGGGCTATTATGAAAAAAGCAGCCATGAACATCAGAGGACAAATGCATGAGTAAAAATAATTCTTCATTTCTCTGGGATACACACCTAAGACAGCAGCTGCTGAGTCCTATAGAAAAATCCATTAGTTTTAAAAGGAACCCCCCAGTCTGGGGGTGTGGAACAGTGGTAGAGTGTTCAGCTAGCATGTGAACACTACTCTGTACTGCAGAAAAAAGGAAGACCAAATCATATTCTAGTGTCAATTATTTTTAGTTTTAGAATTTAATTATGACTCAAACTCTAGAGGCATCTTTCACAGTTTACCTTTTCCCAGTGAGAGAAGTATCCTTCTAAAGTGTCCCATGGAGTCAAACGAACCTAGATTCAAGTCCTGCCTCATTCACTTATTATCTGAGTGAGCTTGAACATTTTTTTTTAGTCTCAGATTCCCTATTGGTAAAATACAGACAATAATGCCCTCCAACAGTAAGGACTGAACAAGATCAGCTGTAAATCCCTGAGAGTGAAGTGTTTGGTATGCAGTTGTGAGTTTATATTAGCTCTTTCCCCATTCATAGCAAAATAATCAAACATTACTTCCAGTTTTTATAATATTGGTAGTTATGAGTGACCTTAAAATCCAAAGAAACCATATTACTTTTATTCACATTATATTTTACTAAGTAAGTTACCTTTAGTAGTTTTATTATGCATGTTTCCTTGGTAAACTAGTTTCTCTTTATTCCTACCAAATATATTTACTGGAATAATCCTTATAAGTCTTGGAAGCAGAAATAAGTTGGTGTCTCTCCATTATATCCTATGTTTTTTTTCTTTCTTCTAGGTCAGTAAACAATTTCCTGATGACTGGTCCAAAAGTAAGAAAAAATTCCTTTGATTAATAAGGACATCGCTAATCTTAATTGGTTGACAGAAGATGATACATGTGGCTTTCTTTTCATTATATGTATGCCTTTTATTATGAAGTAGTATATATTAAAGATAGAAAAACTGAGACTCAGAGAGGGTTGGGACATACCCCAAACCACCACAAATTAATATCAGAGCCCAGGCAGAAACAGGAGTATTGCTGGGTGTGGTGACATGCATCTGTAATTCCAGCTACTCAGAAGCTGAAGCAGGAAGAGCTCAAGTTTGAGGTCAGCCTGGACAACTTAGTGAGACTCTGTCTAAAAATTAAAAAAATAAATAAATCTAAGGGCTGAGGTGTAGCTCGGTGGTAGAGTGCTTGTCTAGCAAGCATGAAGCCCTGGATTCAATCCTCAGTAACACAAAATTAGAGAAGTACCTTCTAAAGTGTCCCATAGAGTCAAACAAACAAACAAACAAAAAACCCCAAAATTGTACTACGTGATCTCTACATGGAAGAACAATGCCAGTTCCAAAATGTTATTTTCTAAGATAATAATGGGATGAGAACAGCTGAAATTTCAGGAATTATGTGATTGGGACTCATTTTGGAGAGGCAATTTAGTATAATGAATAAAGACTAATGGAATTAGAATCTGATAAAACTGTGTTTCATTACTTTCTGCCGTTTGCTACTTGGGAAAATTACCTCCCCTCTCTGAACCTCAGTTTCCTAAGTTATAAAATGACACCTATTTCACAAGACTACTGGTAATGTTAAATGAGATGATATATTTAAAGTACTTGCTTTGCCAGTATTTTGGAGGGATGGGGGAATGGGCATGAAGAGAGGTGCTTGGCAAGTTTGGGGCAAATGCCTCCTGAATTCAGACTGAACTTTGACCTCCCCCTCATATTCCTGTAGGCTTACCTGATCTACTCCAGCAGTGTGGCAGCAGGTGCTCAAAGTGGTATTGAAGAATGCAAATACCAGTTTGCCTGGGACCGCTGGAACTGCCCTGAGAGAGCCTTGCAACTTTCCAGCCATGGTGGACTTCGAAGTGGTAAGGAAAGCCTTGGGCACGGCTCCCCAGGCCTCTAGTTCCAGGGTAAAGCCTCAGGGATGGCCCCCTTTCTCCTCTATACCATATTCTTCACCTGGTCTCTTAGGACATTTCTCTCTTGTGAGATATTCTCTTTTCTTTCTCCATCTCTCTTTCCTATCTATGGAGCTTTCTCCTTTCTTCCCCAACATGCTCACTGTTCAATTAACGGACATTGCCTCACCTCCAATCCTATACATCCTTGATTGCTAAAGGTTTCTTCACAACATAAGCAGCATCAGCATCAGAAGGCAGGTCAGGGTCATAATTCCTCATATCCCTTAGCCCCTTCCTTCGGTAGACTCAGCAGAGAGATATTGAGCAAGTGGAAACTTGAAGACTAGATTCTCAGAAAGAAGATAAATAGTGGTCATGCCAGTAAATGAAAGAGCTGCCATCTCAATTCACAATAGCCAAACTGTGGAACCAACTTAGATGCCCTTCAACAAATGAATGGATAAAGAAAATGTGGTACATATACACAATGGAATATTACTCAGCCTTAAAGAAGCATGAAATTATGGCATTTGTAGTTTTTCTAGGAAATATGTGGCCTCATGACATGTTAAAGCAGATTGTCCTGCATATTTTCAGTGTTGTTATTGACACTTCCTTTTCATCCTTTCAGAGCAAGTTGTTAATGAACACCAATTTTTTTCTTTTTCTTTCTTTCTTTTTTTTTTTTTTTTTTTGGTACCAGGGATTGCACTTAGGGGCACTTGACCACTGAACCACATCCCCAGCCCTATTTTGTATTTTATTTAGAGACAGGGTCTCACTGAGTTGCTTAGTGCCTCGATTTTTGCTGAGGCTAACTTTGAATTTGCAATTCTCCTGCCTCAGCCTCCCAAGCCACTGGGATTATAGGAGTACACCACTGTGCCCAGCATGAACACTAATTTTTTAATAAATATTAAAATATTGTTTGAAAAAAGAAAGAGCTGCCAATCAGATATTCTGCTCTTAGACTCCAATGTTCAAGAAGGAGGTAGGGAAGGGTTCTTTACAACCTGGCCTTCAAATTCATTTCCTTCCCCATTTCTTCCTCAGGGTCTTCCCCACCTAAATCCTTTATAATCATGTATATTGACAACAATCTAGTCACCTTCTCATAAAAAGATGGAAGGGGAGAAGAGTAGGGCTAAGGCCAGGAATGGAGCAGACCCTGGAAGTGAGTAAGGTACATCATGAAGTGGGTATAGGACCAAGCTGGGAAAGGCAAGTATGATGGTGGTATTAAAAGAAAGTAACATAACCAGTGTTTCTTTTAACTGCAACCTCTGCCTCTAACTCTCTAGATGTTTTTTATTCCTGCCAGCTAATCGGGAGACAGCATTTGTACATGCCATCAGTTCTGCTGGAGTCATGTACACTCTGACCAGAAACTGCAGCCTTGGAGATTTTGACAACTGTGGATGTGATGACTCCCGCAATGGGCAACTGGGTGAGTATCAATGAGATACGTAGTTCAGGCCAGGGAAGTTCACTTAAAGAATGAAAAGGTTGGTGGGATAAAGTTACATTTTTCTTTTCTTTTTCTTAAAGAGAGAGTGAGAGAGACAGGGAGGGGGAAAGAGAGAGAATTTTTTTAATATTTATTTTTGAGTTTTCAGCAGACACAACATCTTTGTTTGTATGTGGTGCTGAGGATCGAACCCGGGCCGCATGCATGCCAGGCGAGCGCACTACCGCTTGAGCCACATCCCCAGCTCAACATTTTTCTAATACAAGGAAAATCATGCTGACGATGGGTGACCCAGTTTGAGCACAAACCCTACAGTGACAAACACAGTTAAATGTTGCTTGGGACCCTCTTCTCCCACTGATTGATTTCCTTAATTTAAACAGATGATGATGGTGGTGATGATGATGAAACAACTTGCTCTATAGACTCAAATCACCTTCTTCTTGAATGCAGGAGGACTTTCTTTTATTTTGTCTATCCTGCTCTACTCTCCACTCTGCCTCCACTGCAGCCGCTAATCCTCTGTGTCCACCCAATCAATTTCCAACTTCGTTTTTCCATATTATTTCAATTGCACCTCTTTTCCTCCCTCAGCCTTGAGCTCTCCTCACCTTTGCACACAATTTTACCCCTTGAGGACCTCAATCACTGACAGACATGGTGCTTAACTTTGCCTACTGAGTAGAGGCAGAGGAGATCCCAGGCAGAGAATCAGTCCACTAGACAGCCACAAACGTCATGGAGCCCTGTGCAGGGAATTGGCTGAGGCTGGAAGTGGGACCGCAAAGGTGGCAAAAACAAACCTTCTAGACTGAAACTAATCCCGACACAGGGCACTAGCCTAACCTTAATCTTTTCCTATCCCAGACAGTGACCCCTGCCACCCCCTCCCCCCAAGTCCAATTAGAAACAGCAGCCCTGGAAACTCTGCGTTGGCCTGCTCAATGACCTTTCCCCCCTGCACTTTTCCAGGGGGTCAAGGTTGGCTGTGGGGAGGCTGCAGCGACAACGTGGGCTTCGGAGAGGCAATCTCCAAGCAGTTTGTGGATGCCCTGGAAACAGGACAGGATGCCCGGGCAGCCATGAATCTTCATAATAACGAGGCCGGCCGTAAGGTGAGTGTCACAGACCCTGGGACTAAGCAGCTAGTACAAACCACTACCAGCCCTCAGTATGGACAATTCTTCATTCAAATACTAACCGGCTGGATGAGCAGACTAGCTGGGCGCCTCGCAATCCCTCCAGGGCAGGGCTTTTACTCCACTCTCTCCCTAGGCGGTGAAGGGCACCATGAAACGCACGTGTAAGTGCCACGGCGTGTCTGGCAGCTGCACCACACAGACCTGCTGGCTGCAGCTGCCTGAGTTCCGCGAGGTGGGCGCGCACCTGAAGGAGAAGTACCACGCCGCTCTCAAGGTGGACCTACTGCAGGGTGCTGGCAACAGCGCTGCCGGCCGCGGCGCCATCGCCGACACCTTCCGCTCCATCTCCACCAGGGAGCTGGTGCACCTGGAGGACTCCCCAGACTACTGCTTGGAGAACAAGACGCTAGGGCTGCTGGGCACTGAAGGCCGGGAATGCCTGCGGCGCGGGCGGGCTCTGGGCCGCTGGGAGCGCCGCAGCTGCCGCCGTCTGTGCGGGGATTGTGGGCTGGCGGTGGAGGAGCGCCGCGCGGAAACCGTGTCCAGCTGTAACTGCAAGTTCCACTGGTGCTGTGCTGTCCGCTGTGAGCAGTGCCGCCGGCGGGTCACCAAGTACTTCTGTAGCCGCGCAGAGCGGCCGCGGGGAGGCGCTGCGCACAAACCCGGGAGAAAACCCTAAGGGTCTCCTCTCCTGCCTCCTTTCCCAATTTGTCCTTGGCTTCGTTTAGCGACCCCAGTAATAGAGGAACCTAGGAATTGGGGACCCCGCACTCCCAAGTCCAGAGATCCTGAGAGGGAGAGGATGCAATCTTTCTGGAGCTTGCCACTTCCCTAACGTTTCCCCAATTTCTCTGTGCTCTCCTAGAATTGGTTCTGCGTCTCCTCACAGCCCACACTTTGGTGTGAGACCTGTTCTAAGACTGCGCTATTGGTCTTCCTTGGACTAGGGTGAAAATAGGCGCTCCTCCCCGACCCCACCTCCCAACTGGCCTAAGCCTGACTAAGACTTGGGAACTAGAAGGACCCTTCTCAGATATGCAGGGCTCAGGTAAAGCCATGTCTTTTTCTCTTGCCCATTGTCTGCTACCAAGCCCGATGGCAGGGGCATTCCCTTCCTGCAGAGCCCATCCCGATCTTGCAACTTCCTGCTATTGACCCAGATACTCCCAGGAATCTCTAACACTTTCTCTTTCCTTCCCCTTTTCCCCTTCCTCTGAAAAGAAAAGAAAAAAAAAATTGACCTGGGAATAAATGTACCTTAGGGATTGGTCCCTAAAGGAAGAAGTAGAATATGGTGTAAAAGGGAACTTGACTTGCTAAACACCAGGGTGGTACTTCTTGTGACACCATGTCACCAATGGACTTTACCAGTGAGGTAACTATCTTCCTAGATGATCACTCAAGGTACTCCAGAATTATACCCAAGAGGTCAAGAAACTATGTAAACACAGATTACTATTATTTCCTTCCCTTCAAAGTTATCTTCTCCCTGCTCCTAACCTATTTCTTCCCAGAAAACAACTTCACCTTTTTTCCTTTCCAAAGCTTTGTTCCTCTGAGCCAAAACTGAGGTAAATAAAGGCAATTTCCCACTCGGACCCTGTCTGCACCTCTAAAGGCAGGCCATAGGAAGAAGCAGAGCCCCTTCCTTTCACTCACCTGGTTCTTCAACAGGCAGAGTTCAGGGCATTGGATACTTTCCTTCAATAAGTAAACTTTCTGCAATGAAACTGTTGCTAATAGGAAGTTCAGCACCTTGAACTTTAATTTATTGCAATCATTATGATATGTGCCTAATTTCCTGGGTACTGAGCTTCTTCTTGGGGATACTGGGGTAGGGTGGGGTAGAAGATATAACTTTGAGACTCTTATTTTCTTCCCACCATGGTAGGATACTGTTTTCCCTAGAAACTTGCTTCCTTTATAGCCTAAGTAGCTAGCCTGACTTGATTGAGGCTAATCTTTTGAGGATTAGTAAATCATCCACATAAACCTTCCACTAATACAGTCACTCCATAGCCAAAAGCTTGCTGCTTGTGGTACTTGAGTCTTTTTGGTTCCATTTTCAGAGAGAAGCATTCCACATGAACTTGTATATGAAACAGAGCTCTTGGGAATGAAGAGCCAATTCCTTACAGACCTTCTGCAGCCCCAAGAGCTTCCCAGCCTGCTTCCTTGCCCTGGGCCAGTCCTGGATCTGGACACCAGGCAGCTCTTCCAGAGTAGAACTGGTCATATGCTAGACTTATCCCTTTTCTTCCAAAGTAGGAAAAAGTACAGAGGTCACAAAATCCAAGGCACTGGAAAAACAGAAGGGCTCTTATACTCCAAACTGAGACAGTGGCCAAATCAGACCCAGGCCCTAGTCTCACCCCTACATCTTCTGGTCTGACTAATACTTACTGGAAGAGAGGTTCCCTTTCCTCCTTACCAGAGGGATACACTTCCCTTCAGGGTTTCTTAATGCTTAATTTCCAGCTTTATCAGCAAAAGGCCCTTTGCTTGTTTTCTCAGCTCTTGGGCCTCCTGAGTCTCCCAAGCCACTCTTCTTTTCTAATCAAGCAGCAGCATATACTAACCTAGTTGTCTCATTTGGCAGAGTTACTTGATAGGAAGAAAATCTGGCAAGGCGACTAGAAAATATAAAAGTAAATGTTGTAAAGTAAAGCTGTACTCTCCCAGAGGTCTCCCAACATAAGAGAACTATTGTGCTTCAAATTGGTGACAACAGGTCAGCACTCCAAACATGTTATGCTGCCAGGAAGTTCTTTCATAGGTTATTGTTTTGTATCCCCAAATAGATATGATTGATACCAGAATGATTTGAGTTTTATAAAGAAAACATTGTTGAGCTACCTTAGATCTGCATTGCTTTTTTTTAACCCCTTTTTCATTATTAATTAATTCATTCACTCAGTCAACACTGGTGCACTCATGGGTTCCTGTCTTACACTAATTGCCAGGGCTGTGTTCCCCTTAACAAACATAGGCAATTCCAGAACTGTTGCTTAGGAAGACAACTCTGAGGTCAGCTAAACCTTTTGTTTTACAGACTTAGACTGATGCTGAGAAAGATGACTGGCTTGTAAGTCACTGTAGGGTGAGTACTGGAACCCAGGCCCCTTCCTTCCTCTTGTGGGCTCTTTAGGAGCCCATCTGTCTCAGATTGAGGACAGAAGCAGAGGGAGGTCCTAAGAAGTGACAAGAACACTGACTGGGTAGGGTGGGCAAAACACTGTCTCTTTCCTGTCCCTGGCCTGTAAGCCTACACACAGGCAGAGCTTTCTTGAAAAGAATCCCAGCCTCAACTGGCCTTAGCAGCAGGTCAGGGCAAAGACAGACAGGGTCATACTCAGTGTGCTGGTGGTGCTGGTGGTGGTGGGAGGGGAGGGCAGTCCAGGGCACTTGCCTATTGTGGGTCTGGATTGGATGCTTCCACTCATTCATTTCCTTTTAATTAACCCGCATTCCTGGAGGAGAAATATTTATGTTGGCTCCCATAGAGGCAATCCTTAGACTGGAAAGAAGGGGAAAGAAAGCCTGTCTTAGCAAAACAATATCTCTAAAGAGCTCCAGAAGAGAAAATAGGGGAACAAAATGCCATTAAAATAGCCTTCTACCCCCACCAGAGTCAATGAAAACTTCATTTCACATGTTAATCCGCTACTCCGCCCCCTTCTCTTCTCACAACACCTTTTCCGAAAGTGTTTGGGAAAAGTCTTCGCAGTCAGTACACAGCTCCCTGCAGCTCAGACTTCTCCTTGTGTTAGTTCAGGGCCCCAAGTGGGGCTCTCGCTCCAACAGCGGCTTTTTTCTCCCCCCCTTTAATTTAAACAAAGACTTCAGAGTTCATCAACCTCCCACTGAAATTCACAGCTGCTGAACAAACTAATCCCCTCTCCCAGCCTTTCTTCCCTTCAATGGGCTCTTGGCTTCAAAGACACTTTGGGAAAGGACTTTGCTGGGGCTCACACTGCTTCATCAATAGAAGTTAGTGCAAGTATTATCTGAAGAGCAAGTGGCTTTACAAACAAATACTGCCTAACAATCCCTCCCTCCCAAACACACACATCTAGCCTGCAGACATGATGGGATCGACAACAGGATTAGAGCTAGTACCCCCTGGCTTCACACCCAGTCCTTTTGTGCAGCTGAGCTCAGCCCTCAAGTGGTGTGGGGAAAACCCTGGAGCTGAATGTCAGGCACGGATGGAGACACACACATCACGGCAGTTTGGCCAGCAAGTCCATGGGACTGGACTTGAAATCAAGATCCTTTCTTCAACTCTCGACTTCATATTTCTCTCCAAGACTTTCACTTGATTATTAGGATATAGGGAGCAAGAAGAGAAAGGACTCAAAAGAGAGGTAATGGCAAAATAGGTCCCAGAGGAGACAATAATTGGGAGATCACTGAGCAAACCAAATCAAAGCAGCTTTATTGCATTATTAAATATATCATACATCAAATGCAGAATTCCTACCATGAAAATGCAGCCAGAGAAGGAAGCCCTGAGATATATGGTGGCTGAGGGGAAGAAGAATCCCAACCCTTGAGGAGCAGGGCTAGAAGACATCTTTTGTTAATATGGTTCCTATTCCAGAATAGGGCTTATAATCACAGAATGAATAGCTTAAGTCCTTGGGCCAGGCTCAAATGTGGAGTTGAAGACCATTCCTTTGTAGGCTGTTGTCCCTCTGCTCCTATCTCATAGCCTAAGATAGCTTCCAGCAAAAGGCAGTTCACCCCTTCTGCCTGCTCCTTAACTTTGCTTACCCTTAAAAAATGCTGGCACATGACAGGTTCCATTTTTAAAAGACTAGAACTTCCTCTCTTGGTTCTGTTCAACTGCAAACCCTCATGTCTATGACTTGTTTGAATGGTAAACAGCACCCAACTTGTCCCCAGCTGCTGGGGCTACAAGGGAATATGGATCTGGAAATATAAAATCAGAGGCAAGGAGAAGGTAAGGTCAGGCTCACAAACCTCAGAAGGGAAAAACAAAAGATTCCCAAGATAGGTCACAGTAGAGGTAGAATTGGAAGTAATGACCCTGTTCACCCTATCACAAGCCACTCGAACAGAATATCCCTGGGGGAGAAGACCTCATGGCCTAGGTCCTGTCAGAAAACTATATTAGGGAAAGTAAGACCTGGCTCTATGTCCTGCCTCCAGCGCTGAGTGTTTTGGATAGACAGGAGGTGGTCAGGCATAAAGGGGTAAAAAAAAAACAAAACAGGAACTCAGCTGGTTTGGAGCCAAGTCCACAGCATCATATACCTGGCAGCAAAGGAAGAAAGTGGGGAAAAACAAACAGAATCTGTTGCACAATTTTTCTTCTCTGCGGGGCGGTGGGGTAGTTAAGTAATACAGAAGTGGCCTCTTGGCAAGAGAGGCTGACTGGCTTAGCCCTGCAGCTTGTGTGCAATGGTGAGGACAGCCTTCAGGATAGGCATGAAGCTGGATACTTCGCTGAAGCTGCTATAGCCCACCACCTGGGCGTGCACTGCGAGGCCCTGCTCAAAGCTTCCTGCATCCACACATCGGGCAACTTCATGTAGCCCAGCCAGGACATGAGGTGAGAGCTGTGAAGGGATTGCCCTTAGGTTAATAAATTCAACCAGCCCCACCCTGGCAGCCTGAAAGAGATAAGACAGCCTCAAGTTCCAGAGCCCCATCTCTTCCCATTCAGGAAATATGTGGGTATTTGAGGTGGGGGAGCAGTCTTTCCTATGGAAAAGAAGACTCTGGGCTTCCTTTGCTCATGGAAGGTAGTGGGAGGGCATGAGGCAGAGGGAACACAGGTAGATACTCACCGTCCCCTCACAGAGTTTCTCATATAGACCTTCTAGACGTTGGGCAGCCTCATCCAGCTTCCTTTTTGTCTTCTGTAGGGAGGCAAATGGCTTTTGACCCAGCCCATAAGCTTAACACAGGACTATAAAGAATCCACTACATTAAAGCTAGAATGACTTAGTACTACTTCCTTCATTTCACAGAGGAGGAAATGAAAACCCAAAGATAGTAATGTCTTGCTTAAGCTGATATAGCTAGGAAATGAACGGCACTTGTTCTTCCTGCTGGCTTCCCCCTTCTTCTGTATACCCCATTGCCTATAAGTCTCCATGCTGTTGGGTCCTGCTACCATGGAGCTAGACTTTGGACCAGACTCCAAGTCCCTCCCCTACTCTGCATGGACTTCTAAAAAGTCTGAAATATGGTCAGCATATACAGGGATAGTGAAGGAACTGGTCTCCAGAGACATCCTGAAACCAGTTGAGAGTATGAAGAGGGCATCACAGGAAGGTTCAAACTTACTAAGTCAGTTGCAGAAAGGGAGCAGTGCTGGAGAAGTGCCTCAAAGCTGGTCTTCAAGGACTGATGCTCTGGGGGCAGTGCCTTTCTTTCTATCATCTTAGGAGGTAGTTGCTGACGTTGCTAATGAAGGAGTGAGGAGAAGGGACAGGCAAGAAAATTACCTTTCTCATGGTTTTCCTAAGGTCTCATCCTCAGTGACTCAGGGTCAGGCATACTGCTCCCATTAGAGTACAACAGAGCTGAGGAGAGAGCCCTCCATTCTCTATAGTAAGAACAGAGAATAGGTTTGCCTCTACCTTGAAAAATGATGTCCAGCTACATGCTCCCCACTTTTACTCCCAAGGAGGGCTGGAAGGCTTCCCAGAGCAGGGGAACAGTTGTCCCTGTTACCTGTAGGCTGAGTTCTCCTGGAGCTCCAGGGGGAGCATGATTCACACTGGAAATGGGGGTCTGTGATGGAAGGACCCGTTGTGGCTCAGGGATAAGGCTCCTAACTGGAGCAGTAATTGGTGCTAGAGGCATAAATACCTCTGGGAGCTAAAGAGAGAAAGAAAGGCACATGAATCTAAGCTGAGAAACCCTATAGGCCTTAGTTTTGGGGAATGGTAGACATATAGTGAATTAAGGAAACAAGATAGTGAGTGGCAAAGTGGAAAAAGGGAGACTGGTGAATGTATATAGGAGGGAAAGAAGGTGGTGCTGAGGGAGAAGACTGGGAAAAGGGCAGAGGCAGCCCAAGAATGGGAAGAAATGGGTTGAATTCTATAAAGAACTAGAAAGTGGGCCACTGCTGAATATATGAGGGGGTGGATAAGGAACAATACATTGACCTTTTTCCTCTGGAGATTTCCTTGAGGGGTAGGAACATTTTTCCACGAATTTTGAGGTCCTGTAGAATAAAAAGATAGGAGTTTTTAGGGGCATGGTCAGGAACATTAGAAAGTTTTAGTCTGAAGACTAGAAAAATTATTTTAATTGGAATCTGTCACACCTCCCTTTGCAGACCAGCCACACTCCCAGCTAACAACCTCCAAACCAAAGGGCCCCAGTTCATTGGCTTGAGGGAAAAGACTCTGAGACAGTGGTAGGAGGGGAGGAAAAGGAGGCAACAGCCCACAAGGGGGAAGCCATGGAAGGAAAACTGACCTTGATGAGGGGTCAAGATGCTAGCACTTGAGAGAGAGCTAGAGCATGGAGCACCTGGCCCTCCGGGAGGGTAAGTTACAGGAGAGTAGGCAGGAGGGGCCAGGAGCTGGGAGCTCAGAGGGCTAGGACCTGGTGGTCTCACAGAAGGCAGAGGGAGTAGTCTAGGAGTCTCAGACAGAGAAGTAGAGCCAGGCACCATGATGTCTGGGGCTGCCATGAGTGGAGGAAGACCAGAAACAGGCCATGTTCCAGGGAATCTCACAGGGTTTGAGGGTGGAGCCCTTTGTCCTCCTAATAGTTGCAGCTGAGATAAAGCTGAAGTAGAACAGAAATAGGTAATTTGTCACCAAACTTCAATTTGGGAGAGATTCAGTATATCAGACAGGAATAGGTCAGCAACAAAATAAAACAAGCCAGGTATGGTGACACATGTTTGTGGTTCCAGTTACTCAGAAGGCTGAGGCATGAGGATCACTTGAGCCCAGGAGTTAGAGGCTAGCCTAGGAACATAGCAAAATCCTGTCTCAAAAATTTCAAAATAGAACAAAAACCAAAACACCACAACTGACAATAATAATAAATGATTAATCCAAGTGTAAAGAGATCTTATAATTTATAAAGTACTTTAACTGTTCTCCTTATTTGACCCTCAAAATAATCTTATAGGATTGAAATCACCAGTATAATAAGTTTGGTATATTACCAAAATATACAAAGTCTTTAACATAAGAGAGAATGTTAAAAACTCAGTACGGGATAGGAATTTTGATTGTAACTCTGAAGCTCTTCTCTCAAAAAAAATTTTTTTTTTAAATTTTTAAACTAAAACAAACAAAACAAAACCAGATCCTCTTTAAACCGGACCAACATGAATTTGGGAGGGAATATGTCTGTCTTTCCTGAGACCTCCATTCTGTGCCCAAACAAATCTCCATTTACTCACCAGGCCTGACCCCAGGGCCCAAAGGCAAAGGCTGGATTGCCTGGGGTTCAGGTGTCCTGTAGTCACTTATAGTCTTCATCCTGGAGCTCTGACAGGGGATATGATAGGAGGGTGTCAAGGGCATTACTAGTGATGGCTGAAATGTGTCCGTAGGCCTTGAAGATGGACTTGGAACCTGTGAAGAGAAAAAAGGGTCAGCTCTTGAAAAGAAAAGAGATATGAGTAATTGAAATCAGAAAAACAATACAGAAAACTAATGAAATGAAAATTAATTATTTGAAAAATATTAATAAAATTTATACATCTCTATAAAGACTGATAAGATAAAGAGAGAAGACATTAGTCATCAATACCAGAGATGAAATAGAGAGCATTATAGCAGACCCTGAAGCTACTAAAAAAAATAATAAAGGAATACGCAAGTAACTTTAAATTCATAAATTCAGTAACTTAAAAGAAATGGACCAATTCCTCAAGAACCACATGCAACGAAAATAGCCAAAACAAAAGATAAAAATAAATAGTCACATAATTACTAAAGAAATTGGATTTATAAGGGCTGGAGATATAGCTCAGTTGGTAGAGTGCTAGCCTAGTATGCACAAGGCCCTGGGTTCAATCCCTTGCACCACACACACAAAAAAAAAAAAAAAAAAGAAAAGAAAGAAAGAAAGAAATTGCATTTATAATTTAAAAGTTCAATCCCCCACAAAGTATTCAAGGCCCAAATGTTTTCATTGGAGAATTTGACCAAGGGTTCAAATTAACATATAGTTTACATAAACTCTTCCAAGAAAATAGATAGAACAGTCCTATTTTTTTTTTTTTTTTTTTTTTGGTGGTGCTGGGGATTGAACCCATGGTCTTGTGCATGCAAGATAAGCACTCTACCAACTGAGCTATATCCCTAGCCCCACTAATTCATTTTATAAAACCAGCATTATTCTATACCAAACCCAGACAAAGACAGCACAAAATAAAACTACAGACCAATATTACTCACGAACTTAGATACAAAAATCCTTAACAAAATTTTATCTTTTTTTTAATAAACTGAAATACATTATATAATTAATGAGGACCACATTCTTTTTTTTTAAAGAGAGTGAGAGAGAATTTTAATATTTATTTTTTAGTTTTCGGCAGACACAACATCTTTGTTTGTATGTGGTACTGAGGATCGAACCGGGGCCGCACGCATGCCAGGCGAGCGCACTACCACTTGAGCCACATCCCCAGCCCCCTTAACAAAATTTTAGCAAGTCAAATCCAACAATGTGTATAAAAATAACATTCTACAACCAAGACAGATTTATTCCAGTTCATGCAAGCCTGGTCTAACATATTTAAAAATCAATCAATGTAATCTACCATATCATCAAACTGAATAAAAATATTTTATATGTCATATAAAATGATGCAGAAAAAACATCTGACAAAATTCATTCATAATCTAGTACATAAGGTACTGTGATCCAAATGTATCCCCCAAAATCCATGTGTTGGAAATTCATGCAACATTGTTGGGAAGTGGGACATTTTGGAAGTGTTTATGCCACTATAAAATTGAGTTCAGAAGTAGGTGCACTCTCAATTGCTATCCTGCCTCTGTCATGTTAGGACCACTTTCCTCCACTCTGGAAGATGCAACAAGGTGCCATCTTGGAACCTGAGACCAAACCTGCTGGTGCCTTGATCCTGGACTTCCCAGCCTCCAAAACTATGAGAAATGAATTTCTATTCTTTATATATTGCCCAACCTCTCGTATTCTGTTTTAGTAGCACAAAATAGGCTAAAACACAAGGAATTGAGGCAAAATTCCCTGGCTTCAGAAAGAGAATTTACAAAAAACTTAAATCTAATATCATATTTAATGGTGAAATGTTGAATGTTTGCCCCTCTAAGACTGGAAACGAGGCAAGGATATTCACTTTCACTACTCTTATTTAGCATAGTACTGGAAGTCACAATCACTTCAATAAGGTAACAAATAAATTAAAGACATTCTGACTGGAAAGAAAGAAAACTGTCCCTATTTGTCCCTCTATGTAAACATGACTGTGTATATACAAAATCACAAGGGATACACACACACACACACACACACACAACCAACCAAATTCTAGAACAACTAAGTAAATTCAGGAAAGTAACAAGATACACCACCAACACACAAAAATAAATTGCATTTCTATACACTGACAATGAATGAGTGGAAATCAAAATGAAAATTTGATTTCAAGCTCAAGAGAATATTAAATAGTTAAGCGTGAATTAGACAAAGAATAAGAATGATGAAAGTTGTAAAATACTGATGAAAAAGCATGTTCATGAACTGGAAAACTCATAGTAAGACGCTGTTTCTCCCTAAATTAATCTATAGTTTTAATGCAATTCCTATGACCAGGAATTAAGATGACCATCTTAACACAATTCTTTGTAGATAGAGATAAACTTATTCCAACATTTATGGGAAAAGGGAAAGGTTCTAAAATACCCAAAACAATTTTGAAAAAGAAAAATAAAGTGGGAGGAATTACTTTTCCCCACACCAAGACTTACTATATAATGGTAGTAATCAAGATAGAATGGTATTGACAGAGGGACAGACACAAAGATCAAGGGAACAAAACTGAGAAATAAATCCACACAAATATGCCTACTTAGTTTTTGACAAAGGAGCAAAATCAATTCAATGGAGAAGGGTCAGCCTTTACGGTACATACCGTAGTGCAACTGAATATCCATTAGCCAAAAAAAAGAATCTTGATCTAAATTTCATATGTTCTACAAAAAAATCAACTAAAAAAAATTAAACATGAATGTAAATATAAAACAAAATGACAAACATAGAAAGAATATATGAGAAAACTGGGCTGGGGATATGGCCCAAGCGGTAGCGCACTCGCCTGGCATGTGTGCGGCCCGGGTTCGATCCTCAGCACCACATACAAACAAAAGATGTTGTGTCTGCCGAGAACTAAAAAATAAATATTAAAAATAAATTCTCTCTCTCTCTCTCGCTCTCTCTCTCTCTCTCCTTAAAAAAAAAATTTAAAAAAAATATATGAGAAAACTCGGGGGACCTAAGACTAAGTAAAGAATTCTTAAACTTGACACCAAAAGCATGGTCCATAGGTGGAAAACTTTATAAGCTGGACTTCATAAAATTAAAAACTTGCTCTGTGAAAGGTTCTTAAAAAGGTGAAAAGATAAATTATAGATTGAGATAAAATATTTGCAAATGACATATCCAACTAATCAATGATTCGTATCTAGAATATATGTAGAACTCTTAAACCTCAACATTAAAAAACAAAACAATCCAAATAGAAATGTGATATATAGGGCTGGGGATGTGGCGCAAGTGGTAGTGCGCTCGCCTGGCATGCGTGTGGCCCAGGTTCGATCCTCAGCACCACATACAAACAAAGATGTTGTGTCTGCCTAAAACTAAAAAATAAATATTAAAATATTAAAAAAAAAGAAATGTGACATATAGACATTTCACTGAGGATATATAGATGGCAAATATCTGAAAATATCAAAAACATTAGCCATTAGAGAAATTCAAATTAAAACCAAAATGAACTATCATCACCCATATATCAAAATGGCTGTTGAAAAACAATGATGATACCAAAGGCTAGTGGAGATACAGAGAAACTGGATCATTCTACCATTGCTGGTGAGAATGTAAAATGGTATGACCATTCTGGTAAATTGTTTGGCTATTACTTTCAAAACAAAAAATGAACTTATAATAGAATTCAGCTATTGTGTTCTTATATTCTGAGGCATTTATCCCAGTGAAATTAAGACTTATTTTCATTCAACAGCTTTATTCATAATAGCCCCAAACTGAGAACTACCCAAATGTCCTTCAAAGGGTAAATAACTAAAAAAATTTAAAATAAATTTTAAAAACCTGTGGCAGCTCAATGGTACAGCACTTGTCTAGCATGTGTGAGGCACTGGACTCAATCCTCAACACCACATGAATATAAATAAACAAAATAAAGATTTTTTTTTAAAAAATGAATGATGCAACATGGATGAACCTGAATTACATAATGCTGAGAAAAGACAGTCTCAAAGGGTATGTATTCATGTTTCTATTTATGTGACAATAGTGAAATAACATAATTAAAAAGCTGAAGAACATATTATCGATGCCAACAGAAAAATGAGGTTAGGTGTGGCTATGAAAAGGTAATTAGAGAGTATTGAAATCTTTTAATTTTATAATGGTACAACTGAATATCTTGATTGAGGTGTTGGTTACATAAGGCTATGCATATGACAAAACTGCAGTTACACACACACAAACACACAAATTAATACATGAAAAATTGATAAAATATGAATGTATGGATTGTATCAATGTTCACTTTTTCATTTTGATATTACACTGTGGTTATGTGCAATGTTAGTACAGAGTATTTGGGGAAATATTCCCAAATATTCCTTGTAACCTCCTGTGAATCTGTAATTATAGTAGAAAAAAGAGAGGAAGAGAGAAAGGAAGGGAGGAAAAGAGGAGAGAAAATGAAGTGAAATTAAGATGGAAATGGAAGATACTTCTAATCTCAAATCTCTTTGGGTTTTATTCCCCAATACCTCTAATAAGCTCCTGGTCTCACATGTTAACTGTACCCAATCTGCCTGGACACTTTGGATAGAACCTGGGAAGGATTTCCAACTCCTTCCTTTCTCTCAATCTTCCTACCACACGCAAGCCTCTAAACTATCACCAATTTCTGTGAATTCTAACTACTAAATATCTTAAATATAACCTCCCTATCCAGTTATCGGTTTTTCATATCCTCATCATCTTTTATTTTAAATATTTTTAGTTGTAGATGGACATAATACCTTTATTTATTTATTTATTTATTTTTTATTTTTATGTGGTGCTAAGGATCAAACCCAGAGCCTCACACATGCTAGGCAAGCGCTCTACCACCGGGCCACAGCCACAGCCCCTCATCATCTCTTGCTATGGTTTCCTAACTGCCCTGAGCCTTGTCCTTCCTAAACACATAGCTAATCGTGCTATATCCCTAGACAAAAGTGTTCAGTAACTTCTCCCTGCTCTAAGGGACAAGTCTAAATTCTTCAGCACAGAATGTCGGATCCTTAATGATCTCCTACTCATTGCTCCACCTTCATTAACCTCACACTCCATGACCACATACACCTATTTTGAAATTCCATTAAAATAATCAGTCATTCCTCAAAAAGCCTCTGCTTATATTCCCTGTGCCTAAATCAGCCTTCACCTATCCATTTTCTCTTCTAAATAACTTTTAACCTTCATGACTCAGATCAAGCATCATACTTATTATAAAGCATTCCCTGAACTGTAACTCTGCCAGCACACACACAGAATAAACTGCTTTCTTCTGTGTGATCCCATAGCCCAATAATGACATTTATGAATTTTACTGTAGTTATTTTTTACATATCTATTTTTTCACTAGACTATGAGTTACTTGAGGGTAGGGATCATAGTTTGTGTACCTTTGTGTTCTAAAAGGCTAGTAGTTGTTCAATAAATAATTATTAGAAAGATAACAGAATTCTAGGAAATCAGGAATTTTCACTAACATATTCCAAGTGCCTAGAACTATGTCTGGAATCTAAGTATTTTTGAATGAGTGAACAAATGAATTAACAAATAAAGTCTTACCTGGTGAGAAGGCTGGGATCCCAATCTGTAAGATGATGTCTCTTTGAAGCGGGTGGTAGCTCCCACAACAACCCAGGGAAAGGGAAAAGGGGGGGACTGTTGACCCAGGACAGCAGAACCTTGGGCATGAAAAAGCCGATCTCTTAGCTGCTGAACTGGTGGCTACAAGAGTTGTAATAAGGAAGAACCATGTTAACAAAATGAAAACAAGCAAACATCTTCTCTTAGAAGACTGGCCCTTTTATCACTCAAGCTTCCAATGATCCTCTATACTCTAGACACTATAAATAACTCAAAGTTCCCTAGTCCCTGACAAACACTTGCATACTCCCTCTTGGCTAGTCTTTCTTCCTAGAAAACCCTACATCTGCTGGTAAGCTACTTCACTTTTAAAGGTCCAGCTCAACTGTTTTAACCACTGGGAAGACTTCCTTGACTTCTCCAGATAAAACCAGCCCTTTCCTAAGTCCCACAGTGCTTAGCATAAGCCTCTGTTATAGCACTAGAAGTTGCTAATATCTGATCTCCCCCAACATATTGTGAATTGCTTAAGGGATGAGTTCTTATTTATCCTAGGAGATTCAGCATTAGCATAGTGCCTGAAATGTGGAAATGCTCAGCCAGTGTTAGATGACAGAATGAAATGGTTTGTTCTCTCACATGGCCCCACTCACCTGAGCACAGTCACTGGGTAAAAAGCTCATGGCAGTGGCAAGGCTGCCCTGAGCTGCCAGGAGGTTGGCATACTGGGTGATCCTGTAGGTTGTGGTAGGGCCTGGGCTTATCCCATTAGGAGCCTGCTGAAGTTCCAAGCTCCTGTTAAGGACCATTACCTTCTCTATCAGGTCCTATAGGGACAAGGATGAGGGTGGTCAGACCTGTTCAAAGCACATTGTTCTCTAAATCCAGGCAGTTCACCCAGGAATGTCTCACTATGACTTCCCCAGACAAAGTCAGCCCCTTCCCTAAAGTCCCACAGTGCTTAGTATAAGCCTCTGTTTTGGCACTAGAAGTTACTAATATCTGATCCATACCCAGTTAAAGGCAGAAGCTAATATATTGGAGACATGACTGTAAAGGACCACTTGGCCTAATTTTCCAAGCTGTTTGGGATTGGGTTCAACTGGACTTATCTGGGTCTTGGATTCTTACTAATCTCTGCCTCCTCTTTTTGCTTTCTTTACCCTTTCTGCTAGTACATCGTCAACCACAGACTCTGTTGTTTTTTTTTAAAGAGAGAGAGAGAGAGAGAATTTTTAATATTTATTTTTTAGTTTTCAGCGGACACAACATCTTTGTTTTTGTATGTGGTGCTGAGGATTGAACCCGGGCTGCACGCATGCCAGACGAGCGCGCTACTGCTTGAGCCACATCCCCAGCCCCAGACTCTGTTATTGTAATTGTTTCATGTGTGACTTTTGTCTTTCTGTGAATCTGTGACCCCTATCTTCTCTGGTCATTCAATGAGCATCTGATACAATTTAGATTCACAGAAATTTTCACAGAAGCTAATGGAAAATCCAGGCTTACAACTACTCAAATATTGAAAACACTTGTATGACCAAACCTGAAATGGGAAATGTTTATGACGGCTAATGCCCACGCAGCTGCTGCTTATTTTTCTCTGAGGGAAAGAAGTGACATTTCACCTTAGGAGAAGATCCTAGACACTGAGGGACTTTTGCTCCTCCCCAACACCTTGGCTCTAGTCTGTACCCAGAAGACCCACCTCTGTTATCTCTGCACATCCCCACCACTAGCCTCTCCAGAGGGCCTGGTATGGAGCGGCCAGAATCCTAAAGAGAAAAGGTACCTGCAGAGCCATGGGGGATGAGGCCTGGTGGCCTTTTGCCCAGCACTCTACTAGCTGTTCCACATTCCCTGAGCACACATAACAGAGTGTAGCTTCAGAGGTTAATGCCCTGCCACCCTCCTGCTCCATGCGAGTCCCCAGCATGTCTGCAGAGAGATACAAATTTCATTAATGACACAGCTTCCCTATGCTGCTCCTCTCTTCTCTGTTTGGAAATAAGTAGAGGATCATGAGCTATGGAAACAAGTAGCTATCTGGTTTTAAGATTACACTAAGGCTAACCTTGCCCTCTGGTGAAAGGCAAAGCTCTCACATTAAGATGTGACACACAAAAGTGAAACAGAAAAATAAATGATCCCTACTGGAAATAGGGACATGAACTGCTATCCATGCTTTTTGGCTGAGCCAGACCCTGGCTCTAACAGTACACCCTGGCCTCCCAGAGTTCAGACTGCTTCTTTGCCTCCTCCTTACTTATGTCCATTAACTCCATGCTGAAGCCATAGTGCTTATCCCAAAGCTAGGACCACACCTACCACAGAGCTCAGGGAATTTCTCTGGCCCTGAGTATGTTAACAGTAAGGCCAGTGCCTCTCTCCAGTTCTTCAGGCTACAGGAACACACCAGATCCTTCCAGTTCTTCTGTACAACACAGGATAGAAGCTATAATAGGATGAGAAGGAAGGAGGCCCTCAGCCATCCATCTACATGGGCAGCAGTCTCACACACAAAGATGTACTAAGAGAGACACTCATGAGCAGGCCTCTTGTTAGACAATTGAGTAGGGTAAAGGTAATTAGAGTACTCTAAACACCAGTCCCAAGATGTAAGCCTCCACCTGACAAGGTCCAGTAATCTCTTTCTTCTTCTCTGCATGATAAACAATTACCGAGGAAATTTTGGTTTGCCTCTTGGCCAAATAGCGCTCCTGTGTCCGTTTCAACAGATCTGTGCCCCCAGCCTGAGCCAAGATGATAGCATCAGCAAAACGCTCTTCCTTCAGACACAGCTCCACAGCAGAACTCAGTTCCCCAAGCAGCAGGGCCTGGCTCAGGAGTCCATCAGTGTCTGCAGATAGAGGCATCCCCTCCACATTAGCCTGCCCTCACTTCCTGTCCACTGCAGGGTCTACAGCACACCCTCTCTTGTCTCTATCCCATTCAGCTTTCCTTGTTCCCAAGAAAACCCTCAAGTTTCATTCCTTAACAATAATATGTAGTGAGGTGTCCAGGGGTGACAGGTCTCTAAAGACAAGATTCAAGACAAGGCAGGGGACTTATGTGGCAAGATCATGGGTTATCATGTGTGCTTGCTCATCATGGAAAGTTCCAAGGCCTTTTCAAAAAAAGATATAAGAATAGTAAAAAAATATCTTAGTAGAAGATTTTCTACAGGAAATCATCCATAAAAATATAACCAGAGAGAGCTCTAACTAGTAAGATCCTTGCCAATATTTAAGATGGTGGGAAAGAAGCAGGAGACAAAAAAGGACTATCTCAAGTCGAAGAACTCTGAGCCCACCTGCTCCCAAGCAGAGATTTTCTCTTCTTTAAGGCAAGGGTACCTTCTGTGATGGGGATCTCCCATGGGGTCATATTCTGAGGAACCAGCTCATCAAAGAAGGCTGAGGATGCAGAGGCATCCTCTGTAGTATGTTTGGAGGCCTGTGTAAGGAAGGATAGAGGTGACTACATAGGAAATAAACCCAGAGGTTCTTTACCACTGTCCTATATCCTCAGTCCTTTTAATGTTCTATTTTGAGACAGGGTCTCACTAAGTTACCCAGGTTGGACTTGAACTTGCAATCTTCCTGCCTCAGTTTCCTGAGTAGCTGGAATTACAGGCCTGTATCATTATGTATGGCTACTATTTGGGTAAGATAATACTAAAAACTAAAAAATTAACCAGTAAGATTTGAGAAGAGCTGATTCAGACACAGCTCCATTTCCAACCCCAAAGCTTATGGACTCTGTGTCTTATTCTGGTTCCAAAAGAGTTGGGAGTTTGAAGATTTTTACAGAAATTAAGCACCTTATTGAGAGCACAGCAAAGTGCCAGTATAGAAGATACTCTAGAGACTGGTGCCCTATACTAGACCAGGGAAAGTTGGCTGGGATTTTATCATACCTGGCTGCAGAAGACTTGTTGTCTGTTACTATTAAAGTTATCTTTCTTGGGCTGAGGACTCTCTGCTGGCCCCAAGTCCCTCTTCAACCATGTGGTCACCTGCAGAGAGAGATCTAATTTAATACTACACTTTCTAGTTCAAACAAGGCTGAAGTTCTCTTCCCACCTCCGTGCCCCATCAACTGAACTAAGATCCTTCAACTACCTTCCAGGGAAAAAGCCTAAATACAAGAAGTAAAATTCTCATTTATGTATTACTTAAGCCCATAAAGTAGTATTCTGAGATGGCTTTCTCTGGCAGAATTCTCTGTTCTCTGCATTAAGTCCATGTTTCAGATGTGAAGAGTAGCTTACCTTCTCTAGAAGCTCATCTTTATTGTACCCTAAAAGCTTTAGGAATTTCATTCTTGAGTCTTGCTCTAAAGTCACCTAAGGAACAGAGAATAACAGAAAAGTCTCCACCAAATGAATGTGAATGGCCCTCCTCCTGCACCAAGCTAAACAGCTGAGCCAGTGTGCCCTCAAATATAGTTCTATCATAGTGCCCTCAGAAAAGCCACCTTTCTCTTTTTCTTCTTCTTGCTCAGCAGTACAAAGACTGACTTCCTGATTACTTCTGTTCTCTTTCCCATTCTGCCATTCCTAGAGCTTGTATCCTACATCATTTCTTACTCTTTCTTCCTACATCTTTCTCAAATTCTTTCCTCTCTCCCAGGTCCTGATGTATACTTTCATAAAGCTCTAGTATGTCTGATGCATAGACCCCAAATTTCTCACAGACCCCCTGGACAGCCCTGTTCTATTTTTTTTTTTCATCCTCTTAGAATCCCAAAGATTCTAAGTCAGCCAGCTACTTCCCTTTCTTCCTTCAGACCTCTCAATTGCTCATTTCTTTTGACAGATGTAGTACTCTTCCTGGTGCCATAAGCACCTTGACTTTAAATGAGAACTAGAACTGAATCCATGCCTCCAGAGTGGCACCTGCACCCTGAGGCCCACCAAAAGGACTTCCCTTGGGTTATCTGAAACAAACTCAAAGCCTACTTATAATGATGCATCCTTCCAGCTAAACTTCTTCCCTTCCTTCTTTTTCTCCATCCTTCCCATCAATTCCTCTGCATTTGGCATGATACTGTGAAAACTTTCCTTGGCTCTGATAAATTATCCTGAGCATCAGCAATAGCAGCAATCAAGGAAGACATATCTTACACTCCCCATCTTCACAAGTGGCCTCTAAGCCTCTCATACAGGGTGAAGATTCTGTGTCTAGAAGACACGGGAAAACCCCAGGGAATTAGGCCTCTGCAATCTGGGCCACAGTGTGGAAGTGCATCTCCTGGAGTTGATAGAAACTGGAGTTCCAGGCTTTAGGGAAGCACTGATGAGCAGCCAGCCTTCAAGTTTCCTACCTTCAGGAACTGCCAGAGCATCTTTTCACATGGCAGCAAAGCCTGCTGGCTCTTGTTCTGACAATATTTCATGAGATTTCCTGATCCCAAGGCCTCCTGAAGCTCAAGTGACCTCATCAGGAATTCAGATTCTGTAATGACTTGACTGATGAAGACAAGGCGGGGACAAGGCTGTGGCAACTTCTGGGAAGGGGTACTGGAAAGGCCAAAAGTGACCAGCTTCCCCCCAAACTGGTGAGAAAGAGTAAGAAAGTCAAAGGTTATACCTTCATGCCAAAAACTAACACCATGTCAGGATCACAGGAAAGGCTATTGATTTACCCTAGGGCAGGAAAATAATAAAAAGAGAGCCCCTGGGAGTGGAATAGGATCAGGAATTGAGTATTAAATGTATCTCATACCAAAACCACTTCTTGAATTTTTGGTTCCACCTGTTTAAAACGTCACTATTTGGTGCTCATCCTCCCCCATCCTGGCACCACCACTCTCCCAGGCACCTGGCCTAAATACCTTGGCATTTCACAGTCTTCATACCCACTGCAGCCAAGCTCCCCCACCAGGTCCTACTCCCAGTACTGACACACTTAGATTACCGGAGGAGTTTGCTAGCCCTTAGTTTTGGTTTTTTCCTCCTCCAACCCAAATCTCAGATCCTCCCCTATTGCTGTACCACCTGTTTTGTTTGTTTTTCTCTTTAACATATTGATTTTATATTTTTTCTTCATTCCTCTTTCTTTTTTAAGTATTTGTTCTTCTTAGATATATATGACAGTAGAGTGTATTTTGACATATGTACATGAAGTATAAAATTATTCTAATTAGGATCCTATTCTTGTGGTTGTACATGATGTGGAGCTTCACTGGTCATGTATTCATATATGAACAAAGAAAAGTTATGTCCAATTCATTCCACTCTCTTTTCTAATCTGATTCCCATCCCTTCCCTTCATGTATCACCTTTGCTACTTTGGAGATGGTAATGGCTTCACAGGCCTCAAGAAAACACTTACATTGCTCTTTCTAATGTGATCAAAATCTCAAAAAGTCAGGGCCGAACTTGCCTTTCCCAGCATTGCTTTCTCTCTCTGTTCATTTATATGATCACTCCACATCACCAAAATGCCCAGTTCATCCCTACTTCTGTGCCTTGACACACAGTACCACCTCTACCTGCAGCATCCATCTTGCCAAATTTGATACTTGACATAAAACACCTGGCACAAAATAGGAGTGTAGGCAACTCCCTTGCTTCAGGAGTTCTCAACCTTGATTGCATATTAAAACCACCTTGGAGAGCTATCCAGTGTCGCCAGACTCTAACCCAGACAATAATATCAGAAACTTGGTGTGTGAAGGAAGGAACAAGCATCAGTATTTTTTAAAGCTTCAGGTTATTTCAATGTGTAGCCAAAGTTGACAACTACAGCTTTACTCCCTATTCATTATTTCCTTTCCAAAGACTCACACCCCTCAGTGAATTTTCCAGTCAGAATTATTTTCTCTCTGGATTCCTTAGCACAAATTCTGCACCACAGCTTAGAATTCAACAAAACCATTACATCAGATCATTTCGATTTTCATAGTACTTGACAATTTCATAAGGTGCTTACATGGTTTTCATCTGAGGTTCATGACAAGTCACTAACTTAAGCTTGGCAGGTACTATCCCTGTTTTATAGATAACAAACACTGACATCTTCTGGGTGCAGTGGTACACACTTATAATCTCAGCTACTTGGGAGGCTGAGGCAGGAGGATCTCAAGTTTGAGATCAGCTTGGGAAACTTAGTGAGACCTTCTCTCAAAATAAAATTAAAAGGGCTAAGGATATAGCTCAGTGGTACAGAACCACTGGGTTCAATCCCAGTAGCAAAACAAAACAAAACACTATAGTCCTGAAAGGTTAAGTGACTTATTCAAGGATACCCAGCTAATAAATGACAGAGCTGTGGTAAGAATTCAGGCTTCCTGACCCCAGAATTCTTCATCTCACTACCTACCTCCTTTTTTTTTTTTTTCTTTAAGCTCACTGCTGCTTGAGTGTCTTCATCTTACCTTCTTAATTAAGTTGTTGGCTCTAAAAACATGAACCTCTATTTTTAAAAAAGTATTAGTTGTAGATGGACACAATACCTTTAATTATTTTTATGTGGTGCTGAGGATCAAACACAGTGCCTCACACGGACTAGGTAAGCACTCTACATTGAGCAACAACCCCTGCCCCTGAACCTTTATTTTTATATATATGTTTTCAACTCAAATCTGATATTTTATTTAAAGCATTGTGCTGGATGCTTCAGGGCCTTGCTACTCAAAGAGTTGATCTTTAGACCAGCAGCAAGGACATCACCTAAGAATCTGTTAGAAAATCAGAATTTTGGGCTCTACCCAAGACCAAACAAGCCACAATTTGAATTTTAATAAGATCCTCGCGTGGTTTTTATATACATGAAAATTTGAGGAGCACTACTTTTGGAATATAAAAATGAACAAGACATGGTCCCTACCCTTATGGACTCAATTACTTAGAAGGCCTCCAGAAAAGTATACGAATAACTTTAGTACAGTTAGAACATAAGTCGGGGGAATACAGGAGGGAGGTCAAGTTTCACTAGGGTTAAAGTCAGGCATCTTGTCACAGGTTCAAAGCCAGCCTCAGTAACTAAGTGAGGCAATGAACAACTTAAAAAGACCCTGTTTCAAGATAAAATATAAAAAATAAAGTTGGGGGCTGGGAAAGTGGCTCAGTGGCTAAGTGACCCCGAATTCAATCCCTGATACCAAAAAAAAAAAAAAAAAGTCAGGCATCATGGAGGAGATGGTACGTAAGTGGGTGGCCTGGAAAGGCCACAGGAGGATTCAATGGGCTCAGTAGGGTAAGGTACCAGCAGAGGCAAGGGAGCTGAGGAGTTATTAATGGAACAGAAAGGAGTCACATGTAACTGGAACCTATGTTCTTTCCTTCTTTGTACTCCTTTTCATCAGTTCAAATATGTAAGTGTTAGGGAAATCTCAGGTGGAATTTTAGGCCATTCTCTACAACCAAGAGGTCTAAAACAATCAATTGTTTTTAGACACAGAAAGCAGGGTTTGGAATAGTTGACGAGTAGAGAGAGAAACTAGGGGCAGTGGGAATAAACCTCCTACTGAACTTCACTCCTTGCTGGGCACATGCAAGGCTCCACATATACAACCACACCATATACCCATGACACTTACAGCAAATGAAACACCTGCTGGCCTTCTAATCCATTTTGGGGGCTTTTTCAAGGGAGGTATCAATGATGCTTGGGCCACATGCTCTGGTACCTGAAATGGTGGAAGAGGCTGGCCTTTGCTGAAGGAAGAGGAGATCTAGGGGGAAAGACATCTGCATCATCTGCTTGAAGTGGTAGTTTAGCCAGGAACTCCATCTACAAACTCCATTTTGGGAGGAACTCTGAGACACCCAATTTAACCTAAAAAAGCCAGACTCTCATGTTCCAAGGGATGAGGATGGGGATGGAACTGGAAGTGAGGGTGAGACTCCCACACAGTAGGCTATTAGAAACCCTACTATGTTCAAAGTCTATAATGGAGTGTGAAAAAATGGATCTATAGGAGAGAGGGAAGTATAAAACAGTCCATACGCCTGAGATAATGGTCCCAGCACTGGGGTTTAATATACCTAAAATATTCAAGGGAACATCCAAAAACAAGAATCAAGGTGAAAGTCTCCTTTATATTGTAGCAGAAACATACCATCCCCGGAAGATGGGCACTGAAGCAAGGTGCTGCCCTCCCAAATCCAGGACTCTGGTCTGCCCATCTCTAATAGCCCCCACTTCTTTCCAGGCCATGTGTCCTTCTTTCTCCCCAAAAAGATATAAAGATAGCCCCTTCCCTTCATCACTCTCCACCAAGCCCTTCAAACCTTGTCAGCCTGTACCATGTGTTGGATTTCCCAGCTCCTACCCATGACAGAGTACAAACTGATCCAGCCATCAAAGGAGGCAGCAGAGAACACTGGAGGGTTCCGAGGGCACCACTGAACATCTAAGCACCAGCTGCTCTGTGTGGGTAGCTTATACACCACCTAACAGGAGGGAACACAACCATTAGGGACCGTATAGTCCAGGAAACCCAAAGCACATAAGCTCATAGTTGGGATTCCTCTAACCATCTTGTCTCCATCCCAGCACACCCATAGGAGAACCAACCTACCTCACTGTTCCCAAGGTTCCAGCACAAGATCTGGTTGTCCTTGGAACTACTGAGCAGCAGCTCAGCATCAGCTTGGCTCCATGACACTGACAAAATTCCCCTAAAAAGGAAAAGAAAGATGAATTAGCATTTGTGGAATACCTACAATGGGCAAGGTGCCTTATATATCTTAGATAAATTTCAGCCCTATAACATGGGTGGTCTAATTTCATTTTACAAATAAGGAAAACAAGACTTTGAAAAATTAAGAAGCCTTCAGATAGCTGTACAGCCAGAACAAAGTCAAACTCCAGAGCCTGAACCCTACGTGGTGCACAATCCTTCTTCCCCTAGATCACTGCTAAATGGCCTGCTTTTCTCCAGAGTAGGATGAAAAATCAGTATGAATCACATGTACACTCATCCCTGTAGTGCTTTCAGCCAAAGAGGATAGTGAAGACCTAATCCTCAGAAGTCCCCGAAGAGGTATAAAGGCAAGAGGTCCCCTTAGCTAGAAAGAATAGATTGTGGAACTGCTTCAGGGCCAGACCTTTCACAAGATAGACAGGAGCCAAATAGTTTTTATTAAGGAGAAATCTTGGAGGAGGTTACCTCAGCATGTAGAAAAATGAATGTTACCTTTAGATCAGAGCCTAGGAACTCTCCCAAGGGGGCTGCTATACTTTGGATCTTAAGTATGCCCCAACGGTCCATGGGCTAAAGTCTTTGTCTCCGGAGAGGTGCTACTGCAACATAGTGAAACCTTTAAGAGGTGGGGCTACTGAGAAGTCCTTGGGTCATGAGGGTGTGCCCTAAATGGAATTATGGGACTCTGGCCTCTTCTTTATCCTTTTTTGCTCCCTAGTCATTAGGTGACTGGTTTTGCTTTACCAGACACTCCTGCCATGGATTCACGGCCTCACCATAGGTCTGAAAATAATGGGCTAATTGATCATGAACTGAAATCTCCAAAACTATGAGTAAAAATTAACTTTTCTCTTTATAAGTTGATAATCTCAGGTATTTGTTATAGTGATAGAAAACACAGGGACTAAACATCAACTCAAATATTTCTCATAATGCCATCCCTGTCCCCCTCCCTATAAATTAGATGGAATCACAGGTTCTTCTCCATAACCTCAGGATCTAAAGAACTTCTCTTGGTTATGACTCGAGCTAGTGCTAGCTATGTGTTCACTCAACGGCTTTGAAGCCAGGAAGGATGTTCGGTAGCTAACGTGAGGCAATTCATTGCTTCCTACCCAGGTCAGTTATGCCCCCTCCAATCCCACAGAAGATATGGATGGGTTTTGGGATGCTACCTGCTGTGGCTCTCTAGCACCTTCAGGGGTGAGGAGGCAAAACGTAAGTCCCACAACTGAATCACTGGGAGACGGTCGTCTTCTGAGCACAGCACTAACTGGGTAGCTATGTCTGGGTGCCAGGCCAGGCCCGAGCAATGCATCTGTGAACAAAGCAGATCTCAATGGGTGACATAATCTGACTCTTATTGTTATAAACTCTTTTCTGCCCAATAGGGATGGGACCGTTCTCAGGGTAGGTCTTATCTTTCTTTTATGTGACTGGGAACACCACAGTCATCAGGAGATAAGTGATAATCACGAATAAATAAGGAAGGGCAGAAGCTTCCAAATTAGTTCTATTTACCTTCCCCAAGCATTCATTCCTAATAGGAAACCAACAAAGGGGCTGAATCCACATGTCTAAAAGTTGAAGCAGAACCCTGACCTAGGGCAGAACAGCTCCAAGTGCTTGGTGCAAAAGAGAAGCCAGAGCCAGGCCTATGTTCTGGCCTCCACTACTCACCCTGCTGCTATGATCACTGACTTTGATGATAGGTTCATTCTTCCTGAGATCCCATACAACTGCCTTGCCACTGGGATGAGCAGAAGACAGAATGTGCTGGACTTGCCGGTTCCAAGAGAGTGCCTTGATGTCTTCTAAGGGCTGCTGAGGCAGGGTGTGGGGAGGTGGGAGGATTGTTATTCCCTGGACCAAGTATTATCTGCTATTCCACTTCTTCCAACCACCCACAAGCCCAAGAATAGACACGGGGCTCCCCAAACTAAGATAGTCTCAGAGAACTGGAAATTGAATTTTCCCAGGAAGATGCATTGGGGTACTGATATAGAAGTGGATGAGGTAGGGGTTGGGGGATGACAGACATGCTTGGTTTTTACTCCTATCCCAAATTTCTCCTGAGAGGGTAGAGGCAAGATTTAAAAGCAGTCTTCTTATCTACTACAACAGAAGGGAGAGAAATAGGAAGGTGAAAAGGGAAGGACACGTAGATACCCAAGACCCCCATAGACAGTGAGGCAAAAAAGAAAATCCAATGCTACTTGCAGGATACAAGGTGCCATCAAGTTCATACTTAACTTACCTCACGATACTATAAGCGTAAGACAGAAAAGCCAGGAAGCAAAAAGATGGGCCCAAAGTTACAGACTGACAGAGAGGCACACTCAGAGACAGAAGACATACCAGATCCTGACTGCATCCTTATACATACAGAGACAATGCTGACCCTCACCACAAAATAAGGACAATGGTATGTCCAGGGTCCTACTTTTGCTCCCTTTCTGCTGAGCCCACAGCCCTACCCAACCCCGCCAAACCTACACTATAACAAGTAGCACTTCCATTCCTTTTCTCACTGTCTTTTGCTACACCTGTCCTTCATCTTCATTCCAAAAACTTTTAAAACAGCTAATAACCACAAACCAACCATTCCACACACAGCCCCTGTACCACCCTTCATCCCAACTCTTATCTGGTCAATAGCATGTTAGTCTGTGGAGTTTATTGCCCTCCAGTGGTAAAGTCTGAAATCTACTGTTCTCTGGTTGACTACAGAATTCAAGACTTTACCTGGAAAGATCAGCTGTACACCCTAATAGCCCCAAGGCAAAGAGCCCCCACCCCTCACCTGTGACTTACATCCTGGGGTCATTGGAACGCTCAGATTATTCAAATCCCAAATGAATATTTCAGAATTACTTGCCCCTGAGGCCAGCAGGTTGTCCTGTGTGAATAAAATGCATGTGGAGATAAACTATCTGAGAAACAGATGAGAGCAGGAAAGAGGGAAAAGGACCACAGTTAGGATATCCAAAGCCTCCACTGCAGCCTGGAAAGGGTTCAGAGTTACAGCCCAGAGACTACAAGTGAATGCTTCCATTCAAACCTGTTGCTCCATGGCTTGGCCATGTTTGATCACTGAATTATAGTACCTGGAAAGGATTAAAGTCAAGGGCTCTGACAGCTCCTGTGTGCTTCTGTCTCTGGGCAATCACAGGCTCCTTTCCAGAAGACAGGATGTGGGTCACATTGTACAGAGTAAGCATGCCATTGTCTCCACCACCTGCAATAACCCCGGAGCTTTCCAGAAGCCCATTGTCAAAGCTTCCCCAAATCAGCTTGTGAAACCTATAAAGAAGAAGAACCAGCATCAGCACCAACTTAGGTCCATCTCAGTAAGCAGCCTTTGCCTTTTATCAAGACATCAGAACCCCAGGCTGAGACCTGCCCACCTCCTTTATTTCTCAGACACTGAGAATGAAACTCTCCTCTAATTTGTCCTACCCTTTCTCTGAAAAAAATATTCCACCTATATTATACTAGAAATTAGGAAGTCATTGCCTCTGTTTTGTATGGGAATATATTTTTTTAAAGTTAATGTTGGGGTTATACAGGCCCTGTGATTACTACTTCAAATAGATGACTTTATTTAATCCTCATAACTCAAATAGCCAGATAATAATCACAGCAACTGATGTTTATTGAATACTTACTATGTACCAGGCACTGTTTTAAATGCTTTACATATATTAGATGACTTAGTATTACTAAGTCATCTATAAGGTATTAATAATATCTCCATTTTCAATTAAGGAAACTGAGGCTCAAAGAAGTTGTAAGTCCTCTATAGATAATGCTAGTAATTTCACCCTCATTTTTTAATTAGGAAGTGGCAGAATCAAGGTTCAAAGTCAGCCCATCTTATTCCAGAGCCTGAGCTCTTAATATCACAAAGTACTGCCTCCCACTGAGAGGAAGACCCAACTCTCCTATAACTGCTTAGATCCACAACTGCTATTCCCTCTTCTCTCAAATTGTAAGTGAGAAAAAGACACAAGAACCTCTCTGCTCCATGCCTTTCCCACATGGCTAGCCCATTGGAGCTGCCACATGGCTGCAATGGGCCAGCAATAGAGACATGGGAGAATGAAACATTAAATGCTCCAGATGGGAAACACTTTTTCTTGCTTTCTGAGGATGCTTTTGAGGATACAAGACAGTGCCAGTGTCTTGCACAAAAGAAATAGACCCTGGATCCTCTGCAGACAAATTTGGTCCCATGTAAAACCTACAGGGAAGGATGTGAAGTCCCAAAAGTCTGTTTCACCCACACAGTTGCTAACCAAGGACATTTCCACAGCCCTTTAGAAAAGTAAGATTTCACATCAAATATCATGAGATCCATAGCTACCATGAAATATTCTCACATCCTGGGAACAGCAAAGAAACTGAATGGGGCAATAGGGCAGGAATTTATTTGCTAGGCATTCGAGCAGAGTCAACCTATCAGGAGTGCAGAACTGAGCGACAGTTCAGATCAGCTGGCATCTGAGGCAGAACAGTGGAGCTAACACAATGATACATCTGCTACCACCAGAAAGGCAGATTGGTGGTAGCAGAAAGGCAGATTTCTAAGGCTGTACTGATCTTTACAGAAGAATGTGTCCATACTGGTTTAAGAGGCTTCCATATTTCCAAGGACTGGAGCCATCAGAGGGACTGAGTTGCAGAACACAGAGTATAACAAAATGGTTTTCTTTCTGTATGCAGGCAGAAAGTACATTTTTGTTATTCAACCCTTCACTAGTGAGGGTGAAGCTGGCATCTGGAGAGATCATAATAGAGAACACCTGGGTGAAGTTAAGCAAGGTAGGGGACTTGATCACTCAGTGGGCTCAAGTAGTGTCAACAATCTGTTCTGAAAATGAACAAGAACCAGAGATAACCATGGGGAGGAGGGGTAGCAGCGAAGGGAGAGGGGGGCCAAATATGACAAAATGTTAATAACTGATGTCTCTGAGTGAAAAGCATGATTGTTCATCATACTCTTCTATAATTTTCCTATAAGTTTGAATATTTTAAAAAATAAAGTTAAAAAAAGATGAAATTTATCCTGAAAAAGGAACTGAGAGGTTTAAGAAGGTATAGGAAAAAGAGTTTCTATAAAAAGATGGGAACCTTTAAACATGAGAGTTTCTCTGCAAAAGGGATTCTCAAGATAATGTGAATAAATTATGACAATAATGGAGACCGTATGGTATTACAGAATGATGGGTGGTTCCTAAAGAAAATATAGGTTCATTGATTCCTACCTGACCTCATTAATAGAATGTCAGAACTACATTTTTTTTTTCAGAGTAGAAAGTAGAGGCTTTATTAAAGGACAGCAGAAAAGACTTCTCCCAGAGGAAGAAGAGGACCCAAGAGATGGAATCCGTGGAAGTGCAGTTGTTTCCCCTTTTTATAGTTCTTTCAGTGATGGAATATAGGTGGGAAGGCCTGAAGTGTGGGCACAGGTGGGGCAAAGAAGTAATCTTCATTAACATTTCTTTGGGATGGGCTCTGGGCCTTGGGCTTTTCCCCGACTTCATTAACATTCCAAGAGTAGTTTCTGCTTTTCCTGGAATTCATTCTCAACATGGCCTCCATTTTGGATCTTACTTGATATTAGACCCGATTTACCTAACTACACTGACTACCTAACTTTAAATCTGGCTTCATTCCCCCCTCTAATTTTGGGAACTCCTTACTGCTGTAAGGAAAGGGGGCGAAGATCGCAGAACTACATTTTTAACAGGAGCACACACAAGTGATTCCAATAAGCATCCATGGCTGAGAACCACTGTACTACAGCTTAGAACAAAAGGGGAAGACATTGAATTTCATAAAATTAGAAGCAACCCTAGCATCCAGCTCATGGTGAAGCTTTTGGCAAGATGAAAGAGACAAGAATGAAAAGAAAAAACTGAGGCCTATGAGATCAGGATGCTATACCGATTAAAGCTCATCTTCGACTAAGATTTAGCACCTTATGATTAGAAATATCTTCAGTGAAGGAACTGAACTGGCACTTCATAGAAGAAAAAAAAAGAATTGGTCAACAAATATATGAAAACATCTGTAGAAATTAGGTTGAACAAATATATGTTCAACATCTCTAGAAATTAGAGAAATACAAATTAAAACTATGCTGAGATTTCATCTCACTCCAGTCAGAATGGCAATTATCAAAATATAAGTAATAATAAATGTTGACGAGGATGTGGGGGAAAAGGTACACTCATACATGGCTGGTGGGACCTCAAATTGGTGTAACCACTCTGGAAAGCAGTATGGAGATTCCTTAGAAAACTTGGAATGGAACCACCATTTGACCCAGTTGTCCCACTCCTATACACAAAGGACTTAAAATCAGCATACTATAGTGACACAGCCACATCAATGTTTATAGCAGCTCAATTCATTATAGCTAAGCTATTGAATCCACCTAGGTGCCCTTCAACTGATGAATGGGTAAAGAAAACATGGTATATATATGCAACGGAATATTACTCAGTCATAAAAAGGAATGAAATTATGGCATTTGTTGGTAAATGAATGGAACTGGAGATTATCATGCTAAGTGAAATAAGCTAATCCCCAAAAACCCAAAGGCTGAATGTTGTCTCTGATATGTGAATGGCTAACACACAATAAGGGAGGAGGAAGGGAAGAATATATGTACTTTGGATAAGACAAATGGGAATGAAGAGAAGGGAAGGAGGTGGGAATAGGAAAGACAGTAGAATGAATCAAACATTACTTTCCTATGTTCATAAATGAATACACAATCAGTGTAACTCCACATCATGTACAACCGAAAAAATGAAAAATTATACTCCATGTATGTATAATATGTAAAAATTCATTCTACTTTCATGTATAACTAAAAAGAACAAATAAGATTTTTTTTAAAAAAAAAAAAAAAAAAGAAAGAAATATCTGCAGTGTAAAAGTTCTTGTTTCCGTGATCTATGCACAACTTCACTTTGGATTTTTCTTTCATTTGCTTAGTAAGGTTTCTTTTGAAAAATCCCAACCTCATGTAAGCAAACTAAAGTAAAAAAGAGTTTGTTCACATCCAGGCTAAAATTGTTGGGGAAATCCAAGTTTCCTTAAACATCAGAATGGTGGAGGCAGTGCTCCAAGCTGGAGAATGAAGGCAATGGAATGGAGCAATGGCTATTGGAGAGACAAACTACTTTCCTGAATACCTACTATGAAAAGGCCACCTAGTATCTAACTTTGTATTCTGAACCTCGCCATAGTTTTAATTGCATTTCTCTAATTGCTAGTGAAGAAATGTTTATAGCAGAGCCAGAAAAGTTGAATACTGTGTCCAAAAGGACAGTAAGTGGCAGAGCCAGGATTCGAACCTAGGTCTATCCAATAACAAAGCCCATGTTCTCTCCACTCTATGAACTTGATGTCTCTAGCAAAAATGCAAGTCTTGAGAACAGAAAAACTGAGAAGTACACAAAATGATTTTTTTTCTTCTGAGTACTATCTCTTACATAAGCATCCAAAAAGATATCACAGCATTCTGGCTACCTAGAATTAAGATAAAGGTAGAACAATAGAAAACAGATCACCTACTCTCTCCATGTTATTTAGAGGATATGTCCTACAAAGGCTACTCAGAGACCTAGAACCTCAGTGTAGACAGAGCATAGTATAGCAGATCACACACTGGACTCTGACTTCATTTAGCCAAAGCCACTATATCTGCAGTCAATGACATAAAACTATAATTTGCCCAGAAACATTTCTTCTTGAGTGAACTTCATCTAACAAGCCAAACATCACTTGCTTCAGTGCACATGCTAATCTGCATCGATTCTGCTTGCATCCAGAAGCACTTATCCATTCATTCTCTTCATCTATTCATGCTTCAGGCTGCCCTTTATCAATACCCACACAGTGGTTCCTAACATTTCTTTCAGTCAGATATTTTTGATAGATAATATTTCTCAGCTACTTCATGGATTGAGAATAAGGAAATCTTCATAACCCAAATTTGGCTGAGGCATATATTTGATGAAAAGGGCAAGCAGAGGAAAGGGGAAGATTTTGAAAAGTGTATGTCTAGTTAATAATGAAGAGTCACAGGAAGAAGCTTTTTTTTAAAAAAAAAAAAAGTAAAAGGAGACTACCATAAAAAAAGAAAGGGAAAAGAGATTGAATGTAAGACCTGAATTCAGGTCTTAGCAGATTCTCAGACTTTCTGTTATTAGGTTAAACTGTGAAAAGAAAGAAGAGAGTGTTTCTGCCTAAATATTTAATCTCTGAGAGAGACTAAGAAATGCACAGGGGTTCATCAACCATCAGATATAAGACTGCCTTCTAGAAAAAAAAAAAATTTTTTTTTTGGTACTTGGGATTGAACCCAGGGTCACTCTATCACTAAGCTATATCCCGAGTCCTTTTAATTTATTTATTTTGGTACTGGAAATTGAACCCAGAGGCATTTTAACCACTGAGCCAATTCCTAGCCCTTTTTATTTTTTTATTTTGAGAGAGGGTCTCACTAAGTTGCTTAGGGCCTTGGTAAGTTGCTGAGGTTGGGCTTGAACTGCAATCTTCCTGCCTCAGTCTCCCAAGTCACTGAGATTACAGGCATGTGCTACCATACTCTGCTTAGAAAAATAATCACCAAAGTAGGGTGAGCAAGATTACTCACTAGGCTGTAAGAAGATTTATAAATTCAACCTATAAAATGATAGAAAATACACTTTATTAATAGTACAGTAAAACATACATTATTTATATTGAATATATAACTTGAGTACAATGAATATTCACATTTTTCTGATCGGATAAAAACTTACAGATCATTGATTCAGACTGTTAAGTCCCACCTTTACAAAACCTTTAAAAAGGCAGTAGAATAGGGCTGTGGTTGTGGCTCAGCAGTAAAATGCTCACCTAGCACGTGCAAGGCCCTGGGTTCAATCCTCAGAACCACATAAAAATAAATAAAATAAAGGTATTGTGCCCAACTACAACTAATAAATAAATACTTTTTAAAAAGGCAGCGGAGGGCTTGGGATGTGGCTCAAGCGGTAGCGCACTCGCCTGGCATGCGTGCAGCCCGGGTTCGATCCTCAGCACCCACATACAAACAAAGATGTTGTGTGTCCGCCAAAAACTAAAAAATAAATATTAAAAAAAAAAGTTCTCTCTCTCTCTCTCTCTCTCTCTCTTAAAAAAAAAAAAGAGGTTTGAGCATGCAGCTGAAAGGAGAGAGAAAAGGGAATATTTTTTAAAAAGGCAGCGGAATAATGGAAAGAAGGTAGGCATTGGACTCATAGATGCCTAGACTTAAATCCTAGCTTCTCAGAGTTTCAGTTCCTGTCCATGTAAAATGGAAATAATGGTAATTAACACTTGAGCTTATTTTGAGTAATGAATAAAATATAAAGCCCCTAGCTGTGTCTGGCACACACATATGTGCTCAATGAACAATAATACCTAACTTATCAAGGCCTACAAGGCCTCCTCTAGCCTAACCTGCCAACCAGGAAGAGAATGAATGACCTTCTCCTAATTGCGGTTTCACAATATCACCCATGAAATCCATGAGTACCTTGTCTTCCAGAGCCATGAAATCCAGGAGTACCTAATCAATGCCAAACAGCAATGAGAAGGATCATTCATTCTCTTCCCTGTTGGCAGAAAAGGATGATATTGTATAACATTGTGAGCTTCACAAGAGCCAAGAGAGGAAAGAGCCAACATCTCTAGGTTCAAAGAGAGATGAGGTCCATGTGGTCCAGGCTCTGGTGAGATGTCTCTGTAATATGTGCTGTCTGTTGTTGTTGTTCTTGCTGCTGCTGCTGCTGACCAGAAAGATGAAGCTGGTTGTTTTTAAAAATCTTATTGCAAAATAAGCCCAGAATTAACTTCTCTCCTGCTTGGCAAAACTCCTTCTCCCCTCACTTGACTCCTCATGATCCCTGAGATGTACACACTACTCCCAGGAGTTCTTCATGAGTATCATCATGAGGGTTTGCCCCATATATCCATCAACAGTCCAAACAGAGTACCTGCTCGAGGCAGAAAGGACTCCTTTTTGTTTCAAGTCCATAGAAGGATCCCTGAAATCAACCTCAAAGATTTCCAATGTGCCATTTGTGCTAAAGGAGGCATCTAGCTGTTGGGCAGATGTTCCTAGGCACAAGAAAAGTCAAAAAGAGGCAGCATATGAGCAACAATACACACATGAATTTAAAGTATAAATGGGTTAGGGAGTGGAAAGGAAGGACAGGAGAGGGCTCCAAAGAAAGCATAAGGGGCCTATCCTTGAACAATAGTCCAAGACTAATCCCAGGTACCCAAAAAATCTCTATCCCATTGCTTATGCAGTGAGTCATCCCCACCTTTCTATGATCCTAAACTTTCTCTGATACTCAATAATGAATTTTAGGTGCTAAATTTTTCCTCAATGTATGTACTTTCAGTGGCTCCATAATATCGCCATACCTGTGGCCAGATACACAGGATACTGACTGGCTGGGCTCCACACTTGGACAGCTGGCCGCTCAAGTTCCTTCAGCTTCATTGTCTGTCCTGTAGGTGGCAGAAAACTAACATGCCTCTTGGCCCACTGAAAATAGAAACCAGCAAGTTTAAGGTCCAGATCCAGGGAGCATCAATAGACATTTGATTTTGTTTCTCTCCACTAAGATTTTGTTTCAGGGCAACACAGATTGACGAATACAAGAGGGCTCTTGAGTCACAACCATTGTCATATTTGGGGGGAATGATCCCCTAATACTAAGGACAGCTCTTTTATTGAAATCTAATTCCTTAAAGCCCAACAGACATTAAACCACACTGGTTGCCCAAGGCCCAACGGTGATATTCTGCTAATCAAACCATTGGGCCTTGGGCAACCAGAAATCATCAAACCACATAATTTCTCAGTGATTCTGTTCATTTCCTTGGCTTCAAATATCATCATATGTGTTTGACTCCCAAATTAATATCATCAACACAAATCTCTCCTTTTAGTGCCAAGTTCTTATATACAATTACTAATCAAATATTTCTCCTTAGACATAGCAAAGATACTTAAGTTAGTCTTATAAAATGGGATTCTCTATTCTATATCTTCCCCCACCATCATCTCTCAGCCAGATTACTGCAATAACTCCAGCTGGTTATCTCCTTGCTACATCCATCATCCAATTCATTCTCTACATCACAGCAGGAATGAACTTCTAAAACAAAAATTAGGATTCTGGAGGTCCATGCATAAAATCTTTCAATGCTCTATCACAGTCAGAATAAAATTCAAGCTCCAGTCTACCACTTCATCTCTTACTTTTCTTCTTACATATTATATTAAAGCCAAAGTAGCCTTTTATTATTTCCTGAGTTTTTCCTACATGAGAGACTTTGCAAATGCTGTTCCCTATACTCTAATGCTCTTCCCTTCACCCTCTGCACGACTAACTCTTTTATCATATCTTTCTGGACTCAGTCTAACCTCTTCAGAGAGGTGACCCACCTAATCAAAATCAGCCTCAATTTTTTTTCTTCATAGAAATTTGTAATTGTTTATTTTTGCATTGCTGTTCTTTTTACTAATATATAAGCTTTATAAAAGCTAGCACTGTTTCTACTTTGTTTCACCATGTTATAACTAGTACCTGCATCAATGACTGGCACATAGTGCTTGATAAATATTTGTTCAGTGAATGCAGATATCCATATTAACTGTATGGCTTTCAATCTAATTCTAATGCATATTCAAAATCCCATCCCAACATGACAGCAAGGGGGCAGAATGTTTTTTTAAAAAATAAAGACACTGGGCACGGGGTTGCAGTTCAGTGGTAGCACATTTGCCTGGCAAGTGTGAGGCACTGGGTTCGATTCTCAGCACTACATATAAATAAATAAAATAAAGGTCTATCAACAACTAAAAAAATAAAAATAAAGACACTGAATTTGAGGAAGGAAACCTAGGACTGTGATCTGCTGACCTACAAAAACAGAAGGTAATATTACTTAATCTTTAATGTACTTTCCACCTTGAAGAAAGTTTAAGGCTGTCAATCAAACTGAGATTTCCAAGAGACCTCTAAACACCTGAGGCTGTATCAAGCATCCTCTGATTACATTGTTCAGTCACGTTGCCACCTGCTGGTCACAGCCATTGTCACATTTGGGGGGAATGATCCCTTAATACCAAAAGCAGGAGCTGCAATTGGCAACTGTGCATTTGACATGAATATCTCATTTATTTCTCCCAGTGGCTCTATTAAATAAATACTATCGTTATTTCCATTTTACAGAGACAACTGGCTAGGCCAAGATCGCCAGTCAGCCTCAAGAGCCCGTACTTTTAGCCCTTTAGTAATCTAAACTCCATAAAGGGTTTAAATCGCTGGCAGTCTAGAAACTGGGAAAACAGGCTTTTAATCCGCTTGGTTCAGAGGCACCTGTTCGCAAAAAGAGGCCTCCACGGGGGTTAGACTGGCTATGGCCCTAGTGTGGGTGAGATGGGGCGGAGCGCTATGACCAGTCAATCTGCAGCGAAGGAGGGCGCCAGCTACCCTTGTCAGTCCAGTCCCTAAGGAGGAGAGTCAGCACAGCTATTCTCCTGCCGTCGGCCACACACGGCGCACCAGGGTCAGTCGGGACAGGCCTTCCCGCCCGGACGCAGAGAACAGGTGCGGGTTCCTGACCACCCCAGGTCTGGGCCCAAGTTGGATGGAAAGGTGCGGTGGAAGCGCTTCAGAGACTCGGCTGGGCAACCCCGGCACAGCTGGAAGAGTGGGCCTGGGTGCAATCTGATGATCGCTTTAAAAGGGTCTCTGAGAGGAGCCCTGGCCGGAGTCCCAAGGGGGAACTCGACCAGCCGGCGTGGCTGGTGCATGCTGAAGTCTCAGCAGCTAGCGAGCTCCCCGAGAAGCTCTCCAGAGAACTAATAGCGCCCCTGGCAAGGTCTCTGGGTTTCCGCGGGGAAAACCCACCTGCGCGGAGAGCCCAGGTCAGGGGTCAGCCGTCGCCGGAGCCTGTGCTCGCTAAGGCCTTTGGGGCTCAGCTGGCTCTGTGGACGGCGGCTGCAGAGGGTCAAAAGTAGCTTGGTCCGGTATGGAACCGCTACCCAGACGCTCCGCTGAGCGTGAGCTGGCAGAGAATGTACCAAATAGGACCGTAGCTTTAATCTAGCCTCCCTCATCTGCCTGTGATCACAGGTGTGGTGCACTGGTTCAAATCCCAGACCAGTAAATTCCATTCAAGTGGAACCAGTCTCCCAGGACAGTGTGAAAATACTCTGGAGTGTGAAAATACTAATTTGATTCATTATCTAGTCATCAAAGCGGGAGAAAACCGTCCCTAGTCCCTAGCTCCAGGGGCTATCAGTGCATCCACTTAATTGAAAAGGTAAAAAGCTATCCAGCCTCGAAGTAAATGACAGCCAATGATGCAGTGCAGTCCAGTAATAACTGGCACCCACAAACTGCTGGTTGAATTAAAGGCTACAGGTATGTGGAGGGCAAGACTACAGCAGACTGGGGCTGTTACCTCTCCAACCTGTAGGTGATATTTCAACAAGGATGAAGGGGCCAAGCCAGCTCATAGGTGCCTGGGCATTTCCCATATGTGAATGAAACAGAGACTGGGGCAGGAGAAGGTCCAGATACAAACTGTGATTTACAAATACAGTTCTGCTGATAACAAGGAGTTAGTGAAAATTATGAATTTGGATGCAGCATCTAGAAATATGGAACCCCTTAGAGAAGAGATGAAGGAAGGAACTCAAATTAGGAGACCAATAGAACAATCCAGGAACCAGGTATTGAAAACCTGAAGAGAGCAGTGATTGTGAAGAGCTTCAAGGCTCTTGTGACTGATTAAGGTAAGGAGTTCAAGCTATTATGGCTCTAGAGCAGGGGAGACTAGAAATAAATAGTGGTGCCATTAGCAGAGAATTCCAAGAGGGTATGTAAAGAGATTGTTTTGTATTTTATTTTGTTGTGGGAATTGTGGCATTTTCAATTTTTAAGAAAATATTCTGTAGGTAGTTGGAAGTTCTTGGAACTAATTTGATTTCAAAAGTACTATTTAATGCATGAAGCCTATTGTATTCCTGCTTAATTATCTACCAAGTTGGGTAATGGTTCTCTGATGATGAGATCCAACTCTGCAACACAACTCTGGAGTTCCTTTTCATGTGGACTTGGGAGTTTGGGGATCAGACAAGAGACAATTTGTGGCATTATCTGTATTTAGACCATTCTTTCTACCTAAGCACTCAGCAAGTATTTCTTGAATTTTTTAAGCACAACAGCAGATGAGACCTAGGGAAAAAGTAAACCAGGCTTAAAATCAAACCTCAGGCAATACCCAGAATTTGGGAATAAGGGGGAAGTGTCACTGATGGGAGTTCTTCAAAAGAAATTTAAACCAAACATAAGGTCATTTTCAAAAGACAATGATTAAACAAAAAAGTGCACCTTTCTCAACTTACATCTCTAATTCTTTTCACTTCGTATTATAACTGTCAGTCTTCTCTGCCAGGTTTCTGTTCTCAGGACTAAAAGGCTCAGGGATCACTCCAGGTAAACTGGGCTAACTGGGCTGCACAAATACCTTTTTCTTTGGGGTCGCTGTGATGGCTCCACTGACCTTAAGGGTCCGCAGGAAGAGAGAGAGAGAGAGAGAGAGAGAGAGAGAGAGAGAGAGAGAGAGAGAATGCACTGACCCCTTTTATTGAGGAGAAGCTATTCAAAAGAGGCAAAGGGTCAGGTTTCAAGGGGCTGAGTCTATCTTCATGATGTCCACTGTCAGCAGGTTGACATCTAGGTAGGCCACACCCAAGGGCACAGTAAGAGAAGGGGACATACACAAGGCACTTCCATGGAACATTCTATCCTAAACAGGATAAGGGGTAATATAACAAAGGAACAGGTGAGCATAGCTCCACCCATTGGGCTGTAGGAAGACACGCCCAGACACAAAGAAGACAGTCACTAGAACCCTAGAAAAGAGTGGGACAGTTTAGCAGCATGGGTGCCTGAAGCCACATCGCCCAGCAGGGGAGTTAACTCAGTCATGTGTGAGGTTGGTCTCCCACACTTCTCATGTAGGTAACTACTGGAAGGCAATTGTTCCATTTTATGTCCCCAAGGCCTATCAGTGTTCTGATACATATTTGACACACAGATATTTGCTAAATAAATTATTACTAAATGCTATAGAGAACAGAGAATGAAAACAAAAAAGTCAGTGGGGTCCTTCAAAGAGTGGCATTTCAGTAGAACCATCCACTTTAATCTTACAAAGATCTCTTTTACTGCCTGGACAACCACTAAAAGACCCTGAATTAACTTGAATAGGCTTACTTCTATGGGTTACTTTGAACTTATGTTTTTGTTTCTTTTTTGGTACTGGGGATTGAACCCAGGGGTGCTTAACCACTGAGTTACATCCTCAGCCCTTTTTATTTTTTGAAACAGGATCTCACCAAGTGTTTAGGGCCTCACTAAATTGCTGAAGCTGTCTTTGAAATTGCGATCTTCCTGCTTCAGTCTCCCGAGTGTGCCCTGCTAAACACATGCTTTTTTATGGGTCAGTTTTCAGGCAGTATGATTGTAATTTTTAAAACGGACCCAAAGAGACACACAGAAGATGGGGTGGTTCACTTAAAAACAAATGTGTTAAGACTCTTAAATAAAACACACTTTTCCTCTTTCTAAGACTATTACAGGAATCTGTATTAATTATTAGGGTAATGAAAACTATAAAAAGGTTTGATAGTAATTCACTCAATTGTCCTCTAATTCATAAATTTAAGTAAGGTCAACTTCTTAAGCAACTGTTTTAGAAGTTGCTTTGAAACAAAGAATGCATATTCTTTTAACAAATTAAGATCAGAGATGATCACAAATATGTATCTACTCTATAATGTACTTGAAACATGTTAGAGAACAACTTTTTTTTTTTAAACTAACCACTATTATTAAGATTTTTCATGAAAAATAAATCTTGTTACAACTTGCAAAGTCAGGAACACACACTCCTTCATCTTTGGCCCTATAAATGGAAAAGGAGCAATTAAAATTCTTGCCCACCTGCACAGTTCCAGTGTTTAGCTGTTTAGTTCTTATGTTTAGCTGCCCCATTCTATACTCCCAGCCTTCCAATTCCAGAGCAGGAAAAGCAGAGAGTAAGCAGGGAAAAAAATAAAAAAAGAAAAGGATGAAGTTCTTCACTGCAGTGACTATTCCAGGGGAAATGAGGCACAGATACCACAGCACTGAGTTTTATTAGGGATTTCATTAAGGTTAAATCTCTAGAAATGAGGGAGTTCTGGTTAGAGAGCACAAAAGCCCATGGTGCCTGCTCAGATCTCATAGTGAACCACTGGCTCAGGTTCTTTGGTGGGATCACCTCCTCGTTCCAGGTACAGATTATTATAAGGATACTGCTTCGGCCCCTAAGGAAAAAACACAGGTAAGCAATAATATACATACATACCTGGCTATCCCTACTCCGAGTTAACAAATATGCATGGTAAATGGATATACATTAGCCTCTGTTCAGATCCAGCTGGACTGGGAATGGTAGGAGAGCAGCACTCCTCTTCCCTGCTCAGCCCAAGGCAGAGAGAAAGCCTAAATTTTAAGAGAAGTGATGCCTACACTGTGAGAGAGAGAGGGGAAGAAAGGGAGCAGGATGGGGAAGGGAGGGAGCGAGAAAGAGTCAGAGTCAAAGCTTTCTAAATGAGACAATGCATCCATCCATCCCACTCTCTCTCGGGGTCGAGACAGACTCAATCTCCTTTAAGTCACTCAGCCTCTAATGGTTCCACCACTAAAGTGGCCTAGCAAATGAGGCGTGCAGAATCAGCAGTGGGGGAAAGCACAGAGGAGACATGGCTGGGACGTGCTTTAGGGGCTGCTGGCTTTACCAACAAACAGCTGTCAGAGAACACAGCTCAAGGGGAGGAGAAAAGGGTGATGTGCTTACAGAACTGAAAAATGGAAGAGCCACACTGTTTCTTGCTCTCCTGAAGTGAAGTTAGTGCTCACCCCAGCCCTATGTGCACTCTCTAGCAAGGAGCCCCTGGGGCTTGGCAGAAAGACTCGTGTCAGTGCGCACAGATACAGCAGCTACCTTCAGGACATTATTTCTGCAGAGGTAGCACTGGGCAGCCAACTGCAAACAAAACAGCCTCCTGCCTTCAGTCCCTCTCCTTCCAATCCATGCTAGAGACTATTCCCAGATTAATCTTCCTAAGAATACAGCCTTCATCATGCACTTTTCTATTCAAAAACCAAAAATGGCTCCCTGCTACTCAAGGCAGACCAAGTCATTACTGCAACCCCAATCCCCAGCATGGTCATACATAGTAGGGGCTGCCCAAATATTTAATGGATTAATACATCCCGACTTCATGAAGTCCAGATCCTTTAGCCACACAATAAAAACTGCCAACCTAACCAATCATCTCACCTCACGACATCCCAGAGATTTCCAAGTCTAGATTTTCATCAGAATTACCTGGAGATTGTTGAAAATATTGATCCTAGAACCCTACTGTGGAGCTACTGAATTAAGATCTCTAAGAAGTGGGACCCAGAAATCTGAATTTTTAGCAGCTCTCTAGGAAATCAATGCAGCTAATTATCTAGGAACTATTTTATATGCCTATACCTATTCTACTTCGGCTCTCTCACACTCCTTCTCCCTCTTTGTCTTCTCTTGCCCCAAATGTTTTCTCCAACTTCTCCCACCACCCAAGTCCCCCCATCCTTACCCCGCCTTTGGCATTTAAAGTTAACCATATATGACTCTACTTTGTGTACAACCAGAGAAGTGAAAACTTGTGCCCCATTTGTGTATAATGAATCAAAAAGCATTCTGCTGTCATGTAAAACTGATTAGGATAAAAAATAAAGTTAACCATACATTCTCACAGCAGGTCATTCCACTTTGCACACGTTCACTATACACATAAAATATGTACACAATGCCAAACTCCCACATCTCTTCAAAGTTGTTCAAGTCATTTAACTAAATTTTCTTAAACTTCCTTAAAACTAGAAAGTTGATTTTCTTTGTCCTTTACACTGACCAAAATATAACTGTATATGCTTGCAGTGGACCCTTATTTGCTTCCAATACTGTAAAGGAAGTACCTTTCACATCTCTAACAAAGCATAAGATTTCAGTTCTAGATTCCTTGACTCTACCTTAAAAGATCACTCACTAAAATATAATTGGTTTAATCCTCAAGTAGCAACTCTGAAAACTAGCTGACTTCAACATTTTCATTCTTCCCTACTCCTAACATGAGTCTTCTAACTTGGACTGGACTGAGAAGTTTGGGTAGAGCAATGCTCTGGTGCCAGACCAATGGGTAAGGACCTATCTTCCTGTCTCTTAAGACTCCAGGAAGCTAAGCTTGGTAATGGCTGGTTCCCTACTCCAGACTTCACTCCCTCAGGAAAGGGGGCTAAGCAGGTATGCCAAGGGAAGCACTTCTCAAATACCACGGGGAGGGGCAGGAGAATACTCACCACAGGCTGGTAGGTGGGATATTTCTCCCCCACCCAGAACATGAAAATCATGAAGGCCACGAAGCCGAAAAGGTGCTTACACATGGTATTCCAAGAAACAGGTGTGGGGGATGTATCCACACGGTTCCTGATATACATGTCTAGGTCCCAGTGTATCTAAGGCAGAAAGGCAATAACCATCATAAACTACTCTTCCTGCAAAGGCAGGCAGTCCAGAGTGAACACAGCCTCATACAAAGCTTGACAGAAGCATTCTACTGCCATGAGACAATATTCTGAGACACAAAGGCCCACAAGAGTAGATGCTGGCCCCAGTCTAGGTTCTGTTCACCAGAGACAGCTCAATCATGCACAAATTTCACAGTACAGAGCTTTAATTGTTTCCAGAAGTCCTGCTCCATGTGCCTGACACATGTGGAACCTCAGGTCTCAGATCACTGGACCTTATTTCTTTGAGCAGAAAAGCTTAGTATTAACTGGACAGAGAAGTGCCACTTGAGCTAAAGGGAGAATCCCCAAGAAGATACAGGGAGGAGAAAAAAGTTAAATGGGCTATAATTTTCTCACCGGTTCACCCCAGTTCAACCTTAGGTCTGTGTGGTCCCATTCATACCATGGATCCCTCTCATGCTGTGAGCGATCAGGGAGCTTCGGGTAGTCACCATACCTAAAAGACAGCAAGAAATTATGGAAGGGGCTATGAGCAGTCTCAGACAATTCAGTCTCCCATCTTTGAGATGAAAAACCAAGTGACCGATAGAACTTCTTCACCTAAGGAAAGATGAACTGCCTCCCAAATCAAGATTTCAAGTTCTAGTCACAAGCACAGAACCAATCAAATAAGACTATAGACTGTAATTAGATGGTCACATCAAACTAAACATTGTAACATATAAAGTTTCCTTAAATTCTTTCAAAAAGAAAGGTCACACAATTCTATAATGTTACAGCTAAAAGGGAACTTATCTACCAATTTTATTGATTATCTGATTCCCTTATCAGATTAAAAAAATGAAACTAAATTTTATGGAGTCACCCAGCCAACTGGAAAAAAATTAAAAAGATTGGAAAAGCATTCTTTTCATAGGCCCTGTTTCTCAATCACAAGTTAGTATACCTCTCCATGGCTCAAACACCTCATGGGACATCTTGCTTAGCTGGGTCACCCCACCAACAAACGCAGGTTCACCTTATAAAGATTGCTACCAAGGCTGTTCCTGTCTAAAATACCATTAAAACATGGGAAATAATGAAAACTAGACGTGTGTCACAGATAATAACTGAAAAATAAGGATAGGAGATGCTGAAATCAAGATTGAAAGAATGATGCTAGGAAGAAAGTGAAGATGAGGGTAATCACTAAAGGTAATTAACCACAAGGATGGTATGTGGAAATAGGGGTATGGAGAGGTAACATCAAATGGAGAAAGGAGGTTGGCCATTTCCACAGCCCTAAAGAGAGATGTACACACAAATATAGAGTACTCCATCTACAAATAAGGTTCTCATGACAGGAGTCCAGCTCCAGCCTGGTCACGTGCCTGGATGACAGCACCTGAGCCCAGCAGATGCTCAATCTAAATGAAACCCAGGGCTGTGGAAGGAGCCAAGGAAGGTTCCTGCTATTCGGGAGTCCTCCAGGGAGCCATTAAAATCTCAGCTTCCTCATTTGAGGAAACAGCCCGAGCCAAGGAGAAAATTGAGGTCCTCTAGGCTGCAGCTGCTCACCCACCCACTCTCACCACGAAGAAAAGCACCCACACCAATGACACAAGAGGGTTCGGGAGAAAGGGTCAGAGTAGAACCACCCATCATGTCTTCTCCCATTACTACCCAGGTACGAGATGACCCTCTCTACCTCACCCCATGCCATCATCCGGGTAAGGCTCGTAGTCTTCCACACGCATATTGTACTTCTTGGCGGCGGCTGCCCGTTCTTCTGGGGTCTTAGGATAGGGCCCCGGAAGCATGTCCTTGGTAATGTGGGAGGCTGAAGCACAGAAGAGCACAGGTCAGACCAACCCCATTCGCCAGCAGCCCGAAAGGCTCAAAGCTGCAGAGGCCGAAGCCTGGCTGGGACTTCACGGGATCAGCGCGACCCTCCATCACCTCCAACCCCTGCTAGGGCACAGAAGCCGCGAGATATCCACTACCTCCCTTCCCTCACACCAAACTTCAGGCATCCCCTTCCCACACTGAGGCCTCGCCAGTTCTCGCGGACCTGTCCGTGCCCCTAGCGGCACCACGTTCCCGACAGCCCTTCTCAGCCATCGAACTCCCAGGGCCCCAGCTCCGGCCGCCGCCATCTTCACCTTCCGCACTTCTCCCCGCGCATGCGCAAAGGCCAGTCACGGCGGCAGAGTCCGGCCAAAGGCGACTCGGGAATCCTGGCGTGAAGGCAAATCTTCTAGGATGAATGGGGCGGAGCTTAAACTTGGAACTGGGAGTCCTGTAGGAAGGTGAGAGGTTGTATAGAGGTCAGCAAGGGTAACGGGAGGAAGAGAAAGGCAGGTCACTTCGTAAAATGAACCTTTCTCTTCTCAGGCTGCTTGCCTTTTTCCTCTCCTTCACTGGTACTTTTTCT